AGGGCTGAATCTGAGTTGAAACTCAAGAGAACAATATTAAAGCAAAGAGGGGGATAGGTTCGGTGGTGTTGTGGTTACTGGTGGTATTGTGTGAAAATTAACAAATGAATAAGACATTTCTACAAGCATTTTTTCTACCAAAAACAACTAAAAAGAAAGAGATAGAGATAAAGAGACACCCTCATTCTTCACGATGGAGAAAGTCTCTAATCCATACCTTTCAGATCTGTGTGATTGAGAGTATAAAATAATTTTCTTCAGATCTGGAAATGTGAGATGATGGAGACGAAGACAATAGTCGCTGTATTTGAATGGCCTTTCAGATCTGTTTGCAATGTGTGTTAAAAGCTGCAAAGTTAGCCTTCTGCATTGTGAAGGGTTTAGGGTTTCAATGTGAAGTGCATTATTTTTAATATTACTATTATTTTTTATTACGTGATTGTTTTTGAGAAATAAAATTTTAAGATCAGTGGCTTTTCGTGTAACCGACTCCAGGGAACTGCCATTGAAATTAGTTTTTGCTGTAGTGATTGTATATTCTTGTATGCATAAAAGACCTTTTAAAGAGTATAATCCTATATGTTTTTTTTATCATATTGTTATTTTTTGAATTTTGAATGAGCTAATTTAACAAATATGATCATTTGGTGAATCATAATCCTTCCAAGCCAAACAAGAAGGAAGAAGAAGATCTAAATACAAGGTATGTTTTGATGATAACTAGCACTAAAAAAAGAGAAAAGAATAGATCAAAACAAAAAAAAAATCAACTATGTGTAAAGATTAAAGATATATGATGGAGCCACGCGAGAAGAAGAATAAGAGTGACAACTACATGGAAGTGCTTTGAAAAGAAATGAAGAATCACGAGCAACAGACCAAGAGCAAAAAACCTTAAACCAAGACCAGGAACAAGACCAAGAGTATTAAGTTCGTGTTGAATTGAACTAACAAAGAATTAATGCAAGAAGCAATCCAATAAGAATTAAGATCCAAATCCAATAAGTCAAAGAATCTAAATCAAGTGAAGAATTAAGATCCAAGATTTGATGCAACAAGCCAAGTCCAATTCTCTTTTAGAATACACATTTAGGATTATAATATGATTATAATTTGTAAGGATATATGGTAAATTGCATTGTATGATTTCATTGTTTTCAAAGTTATATATTTAAATTGCATGAAAGTTTTGGAAATAACTCTCGAACATGGAAGAAAGATGTTTTAACATGTTTTAATCTTATAAAACATCTTTCCAAGAGTCATTATTATGTTTTTACGTGTCAGGAACATGTTTGGATGGAAAATAATTTAGCCAAAGTTTCTGACCTTGAGTAAGGTTGGGAATCGATTCCCACCAATTGGGAATAAATTCTTTCCTGGTGGGAGTAGATTCCCTTATACCAAGAAGGTTGGGAATCGATTTCCCCTGCACCAAAGACAAAATAACGGCTATAACTGACTAGTTTCCAACGACTTTAAAATGTTTTGATTAACATTGTTACATCTTAAAAATACTGTGATAGTATTTGTATTATCTTTTACATATCTTTCAATAATTTAATCAGAGCTCAATTCTTGAAAAATCATATACCTATAGAGCTTCAAGTTATATTATCCACACTTTGAGGGCGTAAATCTATTCATATACCTTTCTTATACTAAAATTGAGTGATTGGGGCTAGAGGGACCCAAAGATTGTGAAGGTTACCAAATGCCCATAAATTTAGAGGAAGTTGTAGAGTGCCATGTACCCGAAAACTTAGTGATTGTAAGGTTTCCAAGTACCCAGAAGCTTGAATATTGTAAAGGTTTGCAAGCACCCGAGAATCTTGACTAACAATGAAAAATTGTTGATTGGTTTGCAGTTTGGACGAAGGTCTCAAGTAATGCTCACCGAATCAGGATAAAGTGAGTTTGTATTTTTCTCAACCCTCATATTTTATTTCTAGTACTTAAATTGCTTCTTTAGTATCTAATGTGTGCTAGTATAGATTATATCGTTGTGATTAGGGGTGTAAATGGGCTGGGCTAGGCTAGGCTTTGACTTAAATAGGCTAGACCTATGTAAAAAATATTGGGTATGACCTGGCCTATTAGCCTGTGTAGGCCCCAAATTACAAGTCTGGCCTGACATATATTTAAAAAATAAAAGCCTTGACCTAGGCCTATTAGCTTGTTTAAGTCCATTAAATATTCAACAATTAAAAGAATAACTAAAATAATATAATTTTATTATTTTAAAATAATAATTTTTATTATTATATTTTAAATAAATAATATGATATAGGCCGACCTGTAGGCTTATAGGCCCGTCATGTACAAAAAAAGCCTATGACCTATTTTCTAAATAGGTTTTTTTAAAAGCCTAGGCATGTTCTATTTTACTATTTATAATAGGCAAAGTCTAACATAATATAGGCTAGGCCGTAGGCCCCTATAGGCCGGCTTAGCCCTTTTACACCCCTAGTTGTGATAGATTGTGTATTATGGATTGTTGGAATGTATTAATAAATTTCTCATATGTCAAAGTTTGTATAAAATGTTAATTATAAACAAGGGTGATTTTGCGAAAAAATTATGATACTCAAACCATTCCCCTCTTGAGTATTCCTAACCGAAAATATATGCAAGGCAACTTCAAAGTAATTTTTATGGAGGCAAAATGGACAAATTAACTAAGTTTTTAAGGATGTTAAATTTGAACTTAGATGAAAAAAATCGTAAGGGAAACAAGTGATAAAAAAAAAAAAAAACATAGGTGGTAAATGATAATATAATACATTAAATCAGGAAACTTATTAGATCTATATTCGTCAAATAATTTTATTGCAAAATAGAATTCAAGTCTTGCCCTCTCTGCTGAAAGATCAATATCATAAAGAAGACAAGTTCCGCAATGATGTTTAAAATATTTCAACGATGATTTATTTTAATTAGGTAAGAATCCAGCCATCACCAACTAGTTGCTGTAGGCAAGTTGGCATAACATATGTGCATAATTTATATTCCAAATTAGTTTGTACTTCATGCAAATAAAGAAAAACACACTAACACACACCATCATGCTACGAATGCTCATAAGCCTGGAAAAATAACTTGTAAAATTAATGGAAGGATATAATATAAAACCATTCAAGACCTTATTTATTAGCTTAAATTTTTGGACGAAATAATTCTTTACATAATTTCAGAATCTATGTGACCAATTGGTCACATTCCCACCGCCGCTATACTATTAAAAATAAATGATTAAATATTGTGAAATTTATTAGTATAAGTAGTCAGAGTCTAATGCATTGTTCATTCTTGAAGTCTAATAGACTCTTATCTGAAGAGACATGTTAGATAAATATAATGTAAAATCATTAATAAACATTCATTTAATAATTTAAACTTTTGAGTTGAATTAATATTTATATGATGTTAAAGCATACATAACTAAGTGATCATGAGTTCGATTCTCACTATTACAATTCTATTAAGAAAAAATTAAATATTTATGAAAAAAAGTTAGCATAGTAGATTAGACCTAATATATCATTCACCTTTCAGCTAGGAGGCATGTTAGAGTAATAGTTAAGGATAAAATAGTAGTTCCATTCCATTAACTCAGTTCTAACCTATTTGTAATAACTAAATCTGAAACGATTAAGTGTTACATTTTCTAAACTTAATAGTTTTTACTCCAATTCACATCTTTATTTTTAATTTACTTATTTTTGTTCTTAATAAAAAAAATGTTACGGAAGTTCTAAAAATTTACTCGGAAATCCGCAGAAAAAATACCAGCTGTATAAGCAAATTCTTTTGGATACCGTTTTTAGAATAAAACCTAAAACTTGCAAGATCTCAATTTAAAAAATAAAAAAACAGAAGAAGAAGAAGACGAAACTTTTATGCGAATTTTCAGCTTAAAAGATCCTTCATACATACATCAATTAAAAAATAAATAAAAAGTAGACTTCATTATTTTTGTAGATATTGTGATCCAATTGCTCAGCAGGTTTATCTAGACCATTTCATTGTTCGGAACTGTGATCAAAGATCAAAGTATCACTTTTTCTTAAATTTTTTATCCAAATATTATGCCAATAGTATTTTTTACCAAACTATCATATCGCATAATTCGTTATCACTTCATAACATGTTACCATATTACATACCAAATTCACTATCAATGATAATAAATTATGACACATTAGTGTAAAAGTATGACACATGTCATAAAATCATTGACGAACATAATTTACTATGAGTCATAGCAAATTACACCCACATAAGAGTATCGTGAAAGTACTCTTCAAACCCCCAAAGGTAGCTCAGTTGGCAGCTGAGCTCCCAAGGGATTGCTTGGTGCAGGAATCAAACTCTGTCTCAAGCAGTTTCTTGGAAAATCTTTGGGGGCCAGAGGATAAGCCAAAAAATCTTCGGTTGGGGGATTAGTCTCGTCCTTTCTCCGGTTGCGAAGCTTAGTGCACTCACCGTTACAATGAGGAGCTAGCCCAAACGGGCCGTACCCCGAGGACATAGTGCTCGGAGAAGGTCGAATAAAAATACCACCTGACAATGTACCAAAAAAAAAAAAAGTACTCTTCACGTGACAATTGTTGTGTGTGTGTGTGTGAGAGAGAGCAACCCCTTGACACTGACAAAAAAATTATATATATTTGTTTAGACTTCATAGGAATCTGCACACGAATCCCAAACAAAAGTTTCGAAAAGTCAATTTAGAAAATGAAGTCTATCAAAAAACAATAATCTATCACAGGCTGTCATGCAACAGGGTTCTTTATTTTATTTTATTTTATTTGAGTAACATAGAAAACGACAACCCAAATCAATTTTGACATGTTATTAGTTATTACCATATCGGAACTGGTTATAGCCAGTTTCATTCAAGGGTCGTCACTCTCTAATAATCAGGTCAACATGAACTGAATCAAACCTTGGTGGATTCAGATTTAGCCATTTATACTAATCACGTGCCAAATCTTGGCATGGCAATTAATCATGATTTGTCTCAGCCCCTAATCACACCCCGGCCAAGATCAACCTGGGACAACATCGTCGCAGCCGTTTACAGATTCTGGAACTTCGTCATCGTCGAGCATGTTCTCCTTCTCTGGAACTTCGTCGTCGACCGCTTTCGCCGTCTCTGGAACTCCGTCATCGTCGAACCCTTTACCCGTTTCTGGAACTTCGTCGTCGTCGAACCCTTTCGCCGTCTCAGGAACTTCGTCGTCGACTGCTTTCGCCGTCTCCGGAGCATCATTGTTGAGAATGTTCGCCGTCTCTGGAACTCGTTCCCCGAGCCCGTTCGCCGCAACTTGAGAACCTTCTTCGAAGCCGTTCGAAGTCTCTGGAGCAAAGTCGCCGGACCCGTCAGCCGTTTCAATCGCGATCACCGGAGATCCCTGATGGCAGGTGTGGCCGAGTTCATGTCAACATTCATCTTCGTCTTCGTCGGCTCCGGTTCCAGCATGGCCGTCAACAAGCTCAACGGCGACAAAGCCACCGATGATGGCCTCATCTCCACCGCCATCGCCCACGCGTTAGCCTTCATCGTCTCCGTCTCCATCTCCACCGGCTACTCCTCCGGGCACGTCAACCCCGCCGTCAGCCTTGGCGCCTTCATCGGCGGCAACATCACAATCCAGCGCTGCGTGCTCTACTGGTTCGCCCAGCTGCTGGCCTCCATCGTCGCCTGCGCAGTCCTCATGCTCGCCACCACCGGACAGGTACTATTTTCGTATTGACTGGGGATGTAAATCGACAGGGTCAAGTTATTATTATTATTATTATTTTAAGTTAAAAGTTTAAGTGGGGTAAACACAGCACACCCGGTAATACACACTCGGTAATACAATATTCAATTTTAGGGTAATGGAAGATGTCCCAACTTGTTTGAGAATTTTTGATAGAATTACATATCTAAATGGTCAAGTGAAACTTTAATCTAAATGGTTAACCGTATATAAAATATTTCAAATGTGATTTGACTTAATAAAATTACAAGTTTGATGTGATTTATCTTTAAAGCCTACCAAACCTTAAAAAATGACAATATTGCATTACCTAAAATATAGGTGATAATAATAATTATTTTTTATATTTAAGTTATTAGAAATTCAAAATAATATAATAGTTGAAGCTACATCACAGGTTTGGAAATTTTATTTATCCAGGTTTGCGAGAAGGTTTTTTATTTTTTTTTCGAGAATCTGATTTTTTAAAGATTCTGATTTATGAACAAATTGTATAATAAAATGACATCCAAGAATACCACCAGGAGAGTGGTATTCTTGGAATCCCGAATGTTGTAAAAATTTGATATTCTTAATAATATTTAACAATAAATCAAATATTAAATCAGTAAACTTGAGTCAATATTTCTAATAATATTTTTGTTACCAAACAACATTTTTGTCACATTATCGAAAAATTCATTTTCCTAGCATATTCTTGCTAAACATGATTTTCTAACATTTTTTTTTCCTCTATCAAATGTCTCATAAAAAATTAGTGTTTGTCCTTTTAAATAATAAAAAATCGTGTCATTTTAAATAAAATTGTTGCGTGGGAGAAAGTGAGAAATTTTTAATTTAAATATTAAATAAATAATAATAATTTTAATTAAAACGACTTTCCTTTAAAATGATAAATATTTTTCTTTAGTTTAATCCTATATTATTTTTAAAATAGGCTAAACCAATTTCGGTGAAAGGCAAGTTAGGCGGTTAGCCCACAAGCCACTTGAGTTGACTTATTTACGCCCCTACATTTTTTTGGAAATGGATTCTCTCATGTGTAATTTAACATGATCATGTCATGTGAAAGGATTTTAACCATTAATAATTAAATCAACGGTGATGATTGTGTAACTTTCTATCCTTATATTTTTTTTTCTCTTTTCTCTTATCACAATTAACTCACCCATGTATGGTTATGATTGCACCACATAACATGGTCATGTTAATTAGCACACGAGGATCCGCTACTAAATTTTTTACACTGTTCAATTATAACTGTTAATTTGTTACTGAATTTCGTTTTATTACACTATTTGGTTATAACTGTTATTTTGTTAATGAGGTTCGTTTTGCTACACTATCCAGTTATAACTGTTAGTTTGTTATAAATGAGTTTCATTTTGTTACACTGTTCGGTTATTGCTGTTAATTTGTTACATGACGATGAGCGAGTTTTGTTATGGTGCATCGCAGAGTTTGCCGGTGTTTGGATTTTCCGAAGGAGTGAAAGTGAAGAACGCCGTGGTCTTAGAGATGGTGATGACGTTCACGTTGGCGTACACGGTGTACGCCACCAGTGATGATACGCAGTTGCAGCCGGATAAGAAGGATACTAAGGGAACGAAAAAGAAGAAGACTAAGTTGAGAATTATTGCACCGATCGTAATCGGGTTCATTGTTGGAGCGAATGTTATGGTGGGTGGGGTTTTTGATGGGGCATCCATGAACCCGGCTCTGTCGTTTGGGCCTGCTCTGTTGAGTTGGAAATGGGCCGGTCATTGGGTCTATTGGGTTGGGCCCGTCGTTGGTGCTGCCTCTGCTGGGTTTATTTATGAGATGGTCTATATTAGCTCCGGCAGCTCCGGCAGATCCGGCACTCGGCCACGACGGTGATTATTCGGAGGAAAAAAAAAAACAAAGAAAGAGAAAGATGATGTAGTGATATGTTAATTCTGTGTTTGGAGGGTTGTTTTGTGTGTGTGTGTGATGAATCGGTGGTACTTGATCTTTAACGTGAGTAAGTTACTCTAAGATGTGTGTCCTCTCATTAGTGGCGACTTTATGTTATATGTGAAGGGGGCGTTCGGTATAGGAGAAATTTTTATTTGTCCGGGAATCTCGATTTTCAAAAATATGATTTTTGCATTCAGTTTACGATAATATCTGAAAATTTAAAATTTAGAAAAATTCAGTTTCCCGAGAATTCTTCGAAATTCTGCGTACCAAACGCCCCCTAACAAATTTTCCAATGTAACAATGCCTTACTCCCTTGTTCTTAAACACAGTATACAACCCACCATCAGTAGCATGTAACTCCGGTCATGGAGTTAAATATGTGCTTTTATAATTTTACGATTTTTTTTAAGGGTTTGGTATTTGTCATTTTTTTTTTTTTTGATAACAGGTATTTGTCATTTTAAATAACATAAGTTATGTCATTTTAGGAGAGAGATAGACACATATAAAAACAGAAATCATGGGAGAGAGAAAGTGGGTGATTTTTTTAATTTAAAATTCAAATTGTTTGTGTCTGTATTTCTCTTAAAGCGACTTAACTTTCTGTCATTTAAAATGACAAACACTTTTTCCTTTTTTAATTAAAATAATTTTATCAAAATTTCAAACGCTTTTATGTTTTTACAATTTTTTTTACATTAACATTTTATGTTTTACAATTTTTTATCATCCTTTCTGTTTTAGGTAAAATTTAATTTTTTTTATAATCTAAGGGGGTTAACAACAACACCCCAAAGAGATCAATTCAATAAAATCGTTATGAAATTACAAGATAAAGACAAATCAGCCCAATACAAAGACCAAATACCAGGGGGAGGGTTTGAAAAAACACAAAAATTATTTTCAACAGTATAGTCTAAAGGATATTTAAAAAGCCAATCTGCACAACTATTTCCTTCTCTAAAGACATGAACCAGGTGAACTTCCCAATTCTCTTGTAACCATGCTCGAATCCGACTCATTAATCGAGACTCTCGAGCTGCTCTTCCACTGCTGGAGAGCAAGGTGATAACTGAGCTTGAATCACTTTCTAGGATGGTCTCCAACCTCTAGCCCAAGCAAATTCAAGACCCTTGAGAAGCCCCATAATTCTGCAACAAAAGCTGAACAATGGCCAATATAGTAAGCAAACCCTTCTTTTCAATAACCATTTTCATCTCTTATAATTCCTCCATAAGCAGCACCCCTACCATCTCTCCGGGCTGCACCATCCGTGTTTAATTTCACCCAACCTCTGTCCGGGGGTAACCATCTAATAGGAACAGAAATGTAATTCTTGGTTAGCTTTGTCCCCTTAGAAATTATCCAGGCTTGTGTATATTCACGAACCAAACTCTCTACGTACTTCACCTTGTATGCTTTCCCGTTATTTTTCACACCATGCACCTGATTGTTTATCCACTGTCAAGCTAATCAAATAGTAACAAAAAAAACCAACGACCAAGGGCATCAAAGCACAAAATAGATACATTTTGTATATTCAAGGAAAACCAAGAATCTAAGTCAGTATCAAAGAAATCATTTATCAAATTTGACCTCAAAAGATCATACCAAACTTTCTTAATCTTGGGACAATCACGTGCCATATGAATAATGGATTCCCCATAAAAATTACAAATAGGACAGCTTAGAGGACACAATCTAAAGTTAGCCAGAATTTTTTGTTTGGTAAACAATTAGCCAGAATTTTAACTACTATGCCTCCCGTTCTTGTTTTTATTTTATTTAGTAATCTCACATTACTACTTTCATCTTAAAAAAAAGTTTAACAATATATGCTTGAGTTTAATATTTTTCATATTGTAGAATATAATACATATAAAAATATATAAGGTTCATATTTTTTTATTTTCTCTTTTTTCTCACATTGGCATATATGAGCATACACATTTTTTATATGCATCTAGGAGATACATTTATTTCCTATAATATAAGAACGGTAAATGATTTCTCCAGTCAATAGAGATAAATTATCTCCGATCAGCCCAAAATGACATTATTCTGGACAGAAATCAAGGCATTTTTGTAATTCTAATATATTGCAGAGTTATATTAGTCTTTATAAATATATTTTTTTAATCTTATAATCTCAAAACGACATCGTTTTGAGTTCATTCGAGAAATACTTTTCACATATAAGAAATATTAAAACTTTTTTATTTTGTAAATAAGTTACTCACGAACCTTATTCTTATTTATATGATCTATTAATGAAAGTTTTTTTTATAAATATTATGATTATTTATAAAATCAAATTTCTTGATCGAATTTCCAGTATCCCATCTTTCGCTCTTCTTCTATCTTTCTTCATGTATAACAAAATTTTAACGTGTTTGTGCAAAATGGATCATTCATGTAATTTTTAATGATATTTAAGTAGACTTGAACCGAAAAAAGTCATATAACAGCTAACTTATAAAAAAATCATTCAAGTAATTTTGGAAAAAACTACGTGGATATTTGAACTTTAGCCTAATTAATTTAAAAGTCATTTAACCACATCACTAAAAAAAAAATAATGATATATGGAGTGGGTTGGCCAAACTATATCAAGCCTGATCACACACGGTTGAGATATGGGTTTTAGTGCTTGGTCTTGGGCCTTCAGTCAGGATGGGATCAAACTGTGTATCTGCCCTTTGCGGTAGCGCGTTAAGTCTGACTGGAGTACCTGCGAAGACACTCCGATGCTTAAATCAGTATCAGAGGCAAATGATGTATGTTGTTAAATGTAAAAGATGATCGTACCTGGGTGTTGAACCCTTTTGTTTATATAGTAGTTATGATGCCGGCTTGGCTTCTAATTGACCAAGTTTGGGTTGCAGGTTAGTACTAGGATCTGAGTTGCCTTATCTTTGTTAGTGTCTAGTTGTAGAGTCGCGGTAAGCTGGAGCTATCCGTTGCTTATTGACATAAAGGCGCGGTGAGATTGCCTTGGACGTTAAGTTTGCTTACTTGAGGGGGTTTCATCCGCGATATGGTTATTGCGGCTTGTCTGTCGCGATGAGGGCATTGCGGCTTACGCGCGATAGTTGTCTGTCGCGCTTGCTCTGGATCCTTGGTGGGTTGGGCTTTTTTGTATGTCGTTGGACCTCCATTGGACCTATATTTTATCCCGATCAATATTTAAGTTCATTTTTTTTAATATTATCTATTAATCAATTACTGGAAAACTTTCTCTATATTTTTTTGTGAAACAACTCATTTTTAATTGATCTACGTGTGGCATGTTTATACACAAATCAAGAATAACTCCAAGAATAATAAAATTAATAATAAAAAAATAAAATTAAGAATAAAATGATTCCCTAATTAAAAATAAAAAAAATAATATGCAAGGTGGTTGGTCTATATTTCCATGGTTTCAATCTTGGTAGAACTTCGTCTGCTTCTGAAGTGACTCTCTCTCTCTCTCTCTGTCTGCAATGGCGGTTCCATCTACGTTTTCCCGCCTAAACTTCTTCCCAAAACCTTCGCTTTTCACAGCACTCACCAATTTCCGCAGAAACCAACTTCCACCCAATTGGCCATTCGCCACCGTATCTTCCCGCACTTTCTCCTCCATCGCATGCTCTTCTTCCAACCGAACACCGAAACGCGACGGTGACTTAGTCGTTCTGGGCATCGAAACCAGCTGCGACGACACCGCCGCCGCTGTCGTAAGTATTCGGGGGATCGCTTTCGCGTTTTATTTATTATTATTATTATTATTTTTTGTTATGATTTAAGTGTGTTGTTTATTGGTTGGTGTGGTTTAGGTGAGAAGCAACGGTGAAATTCTGAGTCAAGTAGTGTCTTCTCAGGTACGGTGTTATATGTGATGAATTCGATCTGTTGCTTATAGCCAAGTGCAAATTATGTGAATTTTAGTGAAAATGATGCATACTTTTATCCTCTTTATTTATTTATTTATTTACTTTGGGAGTGAGAAATATTGAGATTAGTTTAAGTTATGATTGGTCCTTTTATGATATAAGCTATTCTTCTGCTTTTTTTTTAAAAAAAAAAACCATATTTTTTGTGTGCTTTTCCCCCCTTTCTTTTAAGATGTCAATCCAAATAAACCACTCTCTATTAAACCCCGACTAGCAGGGATAGCCGGATAGGGACGAGAGCAATCCTTGTATGCAACTTTATCATTGTATATTTGTAAAGAGATTATTTTCTGGATTCGAAATTTTTAGTCACAATGGAGTAGTTAATATGCTAATCCAAATATTTAAAAACAATTTAGATCTATTTTTGAATAAAAAATAGATTATTTATTTATTTATTGAAAATAGCCCAATATTAGGAAGGTAATAAAACTAGATTTAATGGAATGAGATATAGATTGACGGACGGTGTGTCTTAGGACGGATTGAAGAAAATCTATTAGCATAGTGGTGGAGGGTTAGACTCGTTTTTCTTCCTATGCTCCGGATGGTCAATTTTTAGTCTTTTCCCTCTTTATCTTCCTCTCTTTCTGTTAAGAACCTTGAGGTCACCACCCCAAAAGCTAGCTCAAAGGGTGGGAGTGCCCAAGGCCTTATAAACTCCACATTAGTTGCTCTTCAACCAATGTGGGACTATATATCTCAACACGCCCCCTCACGCAAGAGTCCTCTTGGCTTGAAGCGTGGATTATGCAACAGGCCCAATCTTTGGTTTACCTTTTTGTGCTTCCACTTTAAAGTGGGGGGCGGTGAAGATCGAACCTCAATATGTTTAGTCCGATCATGTTGAACCGGATTATGAGCTATACAAATAGTGGACTTATTGTCACATAGCAGCTTCATAGGTCTCTCACATTTTATTTTGAGATCATCAAGTACAATTTTCAGTTACAGTAACTCACAAATGCCTTGAGCCATAGCTCGAAATTCAGCTTCTGCACTTGATCTGGCAACCACATCTTGTTTCTTACTTCTCCATGTCACTAAGTTACCACAGAGAAACATGCAATAACCAGTGGTAGATCTTGTTTCTTTCTTTACCTTCCTTTTTTCCTTTATTTCTTTATTTTTACTTTCTTATTTTTACTTTCTTATTCTTTCTTGTCCTCTTATATATCTTAATTTTCATTTTATTTTAATTTTTTTTCCTTTTAATTGTTATGGATAATGTTATATATGTATATATATATATTTTAAATTTTATTTTTATCTTCTTTTTTCCTCAATCTTTTGGTTCTTTTCATTTGGGTTCATCTACCGACCCCAACTAATTTGGGATAAAGGTATTGTTGATGTTGTTGACATTGATTGAAAATAGCCGAAACAAACTGGCATTGGTAGAGATTAGTTTTCTTTGCGTTGAGATTGCAGCAAAAATTTGGTATTAGAAAAGTTGATGATGCTTGCATTATATTCATGCTGCGTCAGCTAAGATATCAGATAGGTGGGTGTGACTGTGTTCTTTGAATATGCTAATGCTATGCATATTCCAGGCCAGAACAAAAGCATAAGAAGGATAGTCTTAGGTGGATGCATTCTGCACTGAATAAAACGATTCTAATGAAGCATAATGAGATATGATAATATGACGGAGTGTGATCCAAATAAGCATATTGCCAAGGTAATTTTCATTGTTGCCCGAACTAGCATAAAGAACTAATTTTGGTTAAATTGATTTACTACTTCTGAATGGTTGTAATTTTTTACCATTCAGCATCTGCTCATGGAGAAAGAATACTACTTTTTATGTTCTATAAGAACGAAAATCTAAATAAACCAAAAAATTAGATTAGATTTCTTTAGTTTGAATATTGTTACTTGTTAGTCAGTGGTAACAATTACTACTACAAGTAATGGGTAGAACAGAACCCATGTGTAGCTTCTTGTCCTTTATCCAACAAAAATGTTTGGTTTATTCCTATTAGCCACTTAGTTCTATATTTATGTCAACATTAAGCTACCTAGCATACCTCTCTTTCTCGCTAACTACGTAACTTCTCCAATTTAAGGGCAATCTGCTTGCAAAATATGGAGGTGTTGCTCCCAAAATGGCAGAAGAAGCTCACTCGCAAGTGATAGACCAGGTACAGCATTCCTTTCCTGTTATGAAAATATCCCTGCTCGAACACGTCCTATATAGGTCAGGGCAGACACGCTATATCCTGAGTGTGCTTTTGTCACATAGTAATTGTTGGAAGCTTTTTACAAGGGGATTGGGCACATTAGCCTAGTCACCTGTTTGCAAGTTTCATTTATGGGTTATGTTTATCTCATTTTACATGAGATAAACAACTCTCCTATACACTCAAAAAGGGATTGGGTCCCACCACTCTTTTTTCTCTCTCCTCTTATTTGTGGGTCCCACTTATACTTTTATTTCTACAATATGAGGTAGTTTTTTTCCTACAACATAAGAAAAATATTCCCTTCATTTATTTATCTTATTCAACTATTCATAATTATTGCATATAAAGCACTTAAAATGCTATACATCTTCCTAATGCTTAGGGTGGTGATGGAATTCCTTCAAACATAGCCCTGGTGGAAAGGAAGTAACTTTTAAGTTACTTTTGGAGCCCCAGGGATGATGTTTGGAGAGTGCCACCAGGTTCTCAAACAGATTTCTAGTATGACTTCTCTCTCTCTCTCTCTCTCCCTTTTATTGGATTATTGACATGGGCATAACGCACAACCATTTTGCTCATTCATTATAGGTTGTGCAAGAAGCCCTAGATAAAGCTTCTATAACTGAGAAGGATCTCACTGCAGTTGCTGTTACTATTGGTCCTGGTTTAAGTCTCTGCCTACGTGGTAATTCATGAACTTAAGAGACTTTAAGAATAGACATATAAATTAGACAGAATTTCTGTGAATTGCTTGAGTGAGAGCACTCTGCATCCTTGATATTTATATACATGGCAGAATAAATGCAGTTTAAATTTACTTGAACAATAATAAAAAATATTTTCTATGACTCTAATCTTTCCAATGAAACATCAACTCCCATAATTCCCAGTGATGTTTTTATCACTATCACTATTTCCAGTGCATGATATCATTTAATTTCAATACATTTCATTATATGTTCCATAACTTCCAAGAATTAAGCAAGATAATGTCTGTTGAAGTCAGGAGATTCATTGTGAAGACATATTAATACATAAGCAGCCTGGTGGTATTATTTAATTAAACTTTTGTAGTTGAAATATCAATAAAATTAAGTTATACCTTTGCGATTATCCAAGTTTGCTTCTTTTGCTATAGAACCATTATATAGTACGTAAAAGCACAATGCAGAAGTACCAGTAGCATGGAAATTGCTAGCAAGTTTGTTTTCAATTTGATCGTCCAAACTATAGGCACGAATGTTTGTTTCTGACTTCAAGTGAATTGGAAGGCATATTTTAGTAATAATTAACCAGGACATAGAGGAATTCTTCCTATCAATTACCTATTCCTCAGTCTCTGTCTTGCACAATGCAGTTGGGGTCCAAAAAGCTCGGAGAATTGCTGGGGGTTTTAGTTTACCAATTATTAGTGTGCATCACATGGAGGCTCATGCTCTAGTGGCCAGGTAAAGATAAAATGCCTCTCTAATAATATGTAATTTTCTGCCCAAAAGATGGATGCAGAGGCATGCTTGCAATATTTGAAATGGCTATTCAGCTTCTGAATGTTGTTCGTTATGCTTCTAGAATTTGTCTGCACTTTTTTAGCATCCCATAGGAAATTATGCTTTTCATTGTGAGACAGAGATTTCTTTTGTTTTAGGTTAAATGAGAAAGATTTGCAGTTTCCATTCATGGCCCTACTTATTTCAGGTAATATTCCCGTATTCCTGTTTTTGGATTTTTGTTTTATTAGTCTTGCTAGTATTCTTCCTTACACTTGATCTATTTTTAATTTTCTTCCTTGGATCATCGAATTGGTGTTTCTAGTTCAACTCATATTTCAATGAATTTGGATTTTGTGGCTTTCTTGGGTAATAAGGTCCACATGGTACAAATAAATATTAAGCCAGGGTAATTTTGGACAGTTTTGAGATTTGAATTAAAGCAGTTTGCTGCTTGATACTTCACTGTTTTGGTTATAATGCTAAATACTTTCCGTCAAGTCACTTCGAGCAACTTTTATGACTTGTAAAACAAATTATCATAAAATGTTATTAACACATCTGGCAAGGGAGTGCTATTCATATTCATGTATTTTAGACATTCCTTGTGCAACTAGTTGTTTGAAGTATAAACAGCTATCATGTTATCAGTAATCCATTTTTGTGTACTATATATTTTATCTACTAGCATTTGAATAGGAATTTAGGGAAAATAGTGAGTATTGTTAAGGTTCTCAACATTTAAGTGGGTAAAACACTTTTTTAGATAAATCTTTAAAAGTTGGATACAATTTGAATTTGGGATTTTATTCAAGTACAATGAGGAAATCTTGTTATTTATTGTTAAGTATTCCTGCATATTTTGGAAATGGAGATTTTTTAGTTTTCTTACATTAGTTGTCATTTTCTTTCTTCTTTTACCGTGAAAAATTTATTGGAAATACAAGTGCAAGGGATCTAGTGGTAGTTGTTTTAACTCAAAAGTGAAGGGGATCATTATTTCTCAATTATTTCTCATGTTGTAGGATATAATTTTATCTTCTACACACACAAAAGTGTGTGGGGCCCAATCCCATGGCACACATGACACAACTATCCCTATTTTCTTGCCTAGCTCCCTCACCTTTGTTATTATAGCCTACCAAAATTTTTGCTACCAAACTGTCTAGTCAAATTACAACTTCCTCTTTAATTGCCTCTTCTATTTTCTCCAATGCTATACCCTTGTACCTTTTGGCACATAAAATAAATAATATCAAGTAAATGGCTGTTAAAAAAGCAGACAAGAAGAAAAACCTATCTAAGTAACCATCATTTAGATTAGGTGAAACCCATCCAGGTCGTCCGTGATTTGATGTAGATTTCATTACCACTGTCAAAATAATGTTGGCAACATAACTACCAAGTGAAGATGTAGACACAGACAACCCCATTCCCAAGCTTTTTAATCCATCCGGTGTCTGTGATGCAAAAAAATTCATCTGTGCCACAAACACAAAAGCTTCTGTTACTCCTACAAGCACATATTGTGGTATCTGCCAAAAGATACTCAATGAACTTGTCTTTTCACCATTGTGGCTAGCAAGTTTATGTCTTTTTCTCTCAACAAAGCCAGCAACTGTCAAGGCTATTATTGCAATGGCTAGCCCAATTGCAATTCTTCTTGGCTCACTAGGAGGTTTTGGATCTTTTTTCATCACTTTCACTGTTTCACATGTAATGGAACAATGAGAATATCAAATAAGAGAATAAATGCAGATGTGCTTATGATATCAAATGCAGTCACGCTGGCAGGAGGGATTTTAAACTTGAAAAAAGTTTTGTCCATTGTAGCACCCTGCTCAACGAATAGAGAAAGCATCTGTATGAAGATAACTGAGGAGAAGATGGTGCAAAACCATACTGGCAACAATCTCAAAACACATTTCACTTCTTCAACTTGTGTTACAGTGCAAAGATGCCACGGGTTAGGCTTATGGCCTTTGCCTAACAATGTGTTCTTTTCCTCAATAGAAACAATAGCAGCTCGATCAAGAAACCTGTTTGTTACCAAAACAAAATGAACAAAGAAGTTATGGAGACAATATTGAAAACTTTATGTTGAGGTCCCTTATTCATTTTGGTTCCTTTGATTAAAAAATAGAAAACACTTGACAAACTTGCAAGACTATGTAAGGCTAACAAGAATTCGCAAAGGCTTTTTATCTTTCACTTTTCCATATTACATCAACTTTATATCTGGTTTTTCACATTTACGAATAACAAAATGTTGCTTCATGAATTTGATTATAGGTTTGATGTTTCTCGTGTTGTAGGAGATAAATTTATCTCCTATACACACACATAAAAGTGTGTGATCTCTATATGGGCCCAAGTGAGGAGAAGAGAGAGAAAGAAAAAATATGGGCTCCACACACATAAAGTGTGTATGGGGGATAAATTCATCTCCTACAACATAAGAAACAATAAACCCTTGATTTATATAGGAAAACCATTGCTTAAAGTACTGAATAATTATTGAACCTATATACCTGACAAGTAAATTCTAGTCCATTTAGTGTACAAAAAATTGCAACGAATAATGCACAACAAATCACTTACCTTAGACTTTGAATTGACTCCTTCTGTATTCAAACCATTTTATAATTCTTAAGCAGTTTAATGCTCAAATATTGCATGAATAATACACAACAATGACAAAACACTTCCATATGCTCTTAAGAGACTTACCTGAGGAGGCCATTTGTGTGGTGTATTCTCCTAAAACTGGTATCATCTCCTTCTTGAAAATCAGAGTGTCCTTCTCCATTTGTGGGTATTTGAAGTTTCATTTTCCTCAAAGAGGACACTAATACTTATGCAAACCTTGAGATAGGATTTCCAAAAGGCTTAAAGTGCCTATATCTAAGTGTTCCACTCAACAAAAGAAGAAAGGAAACACTAGCACTGCCAGCATATATCCAAAACTCTACCCAATTTCTAGCAGTTTCTATGTAATCCAATACTATCTCAGCCACTAAGGATCCCAAGTTTGATGCCACATAAAAATAGCTGTAAAATGAAGTTTTAGATGATTGTTCTTTAGGTTCTTCCTCATCAAATTGATCTGCTCCAAATGTTGCTAAAGCAGGGTCAGCAGCTCCATTTCCTAGAGCAATTAGATATATTGATATGTAAATTATTCCCATTTGAATTGGCATTTGGGGTTCACATAGCAATCCTATTTTGCCACAATCGTGAGTTCTAAGCAAAAAGAAATGGCTTGACAAGGATAATAACACCAACCCCTGCATAAGAGAAGGAAAAAAAAGAACTAAAGATTTTGTAAAATTATTGTAGTTGGCATGTTCTATAAACACATATCTATTGTTTGAGTCCTTATTCCTATAGCATAGCCTATCTAAGTTATAGATTTTGAATGCAATATAGACAACTTTCTTAATAACATCCTATTCAAGTATTGATAAACATTTTGATAGTATAAATAATGATTTATTCAACAAGTTTCATCATGGAAAGGCAACTCAGGATGTTGGAGACGTTTTTGAGAGATGAGCGTTGCTGGAATGACAACACACCAAGAACTAAAACTTTCCTCCAAGTCTATCAAGAACAACATTGAAAGCTATGAACCCCAAGAAAAAGGCCGATGGGGAAGAGAGAGACTGCATCTTGGACAAATGCCGTGTGGGCCATCTTCCAAATTTCTCCCCCTCATTGATATGTTGGCATAAAAAAAGAGACAGTAGATGGATAAATTCCGAGGGATGAGCCTGTGCATCTAGAAATAAACCAGTTTCTGATTGTGGGAGCTGAGAGTGAACTAGTTTGCAGTCCATGAACTTGGCTTGCAGCCTAGACATGTAGCTGCATATAGAGGAATATGACTTTAACCTCATTCTTCCTTCAATAATTTGAGGAATTTGCATTCCTCCCATGTTGCCCAAACAATCTCCTAAAATTGGACACATAATTGCACATTGAAGTCAAATGTTTTGAATATCTTGCTTATTTTTATATGTAGAGATGGTTATTATTTTATAGTTTCTCAACAGTCCAGCGTATTGCAAACCTGTGATTTGACACAGTCACTGCTGACTATATTCAACTTAGATATTGGTACACTCAGGTTATCTTGTGTGATGATGATGACAACCATGTATTTAATAGGGGGGCACAATCTTCTCATTCTTGCACATGATCTGGGGCAATACATACAACTTGGAACTACAATAGATGATGCTATTGGTGAGGCATATGACAAGACAGCAAAATGGCTTGGCCTTGATATGAGGAGAAGTGGTGGTCCTGCTATAGAGGAGCTTGCTAGGGAGGGTAATGCTCAATCAGTCAGTTTTTCTGTAAGTTAGTCGTACAATAATATATTCTCTCCCCCTCCCCCCAAACTCTTGATTGTTTCCTTAGGTTGAATATCTATCCTTTCTAACATTTGTATGGTGGTTGTTTTGCTTCCAGTGGAGATTTAAATTTATTCATATGTTTATTCTAGATTCCAATGAAGCAGCACAAAGATTGCAACTTCTCCTATGCTGGTCTGAAAACCCAAGTAAGGCTGGCTATTGAGTCCAAAAAGATGTACGTACATATTTAAAGCTGTTTGTTAATAGATTTGTTATTTTACAAATGAATATATATATATAATAAGGGGGAATGCCATAACCTGATGGATTACGATATGTACCAACCAGTAATAGAAGTAGAAGATAGAGTAAAAACAGGGTATTATATTGATGAAGGTTGATATCATCTTGATAACAACAAATCATTATAGTGATGATAGAAATCGAAAGAAATAATAAGAAAACAAAAGTGTCCAAGCCTTTCGAGAGGGCTGGTCTTTCCCAATGCCAGGATTGCCTACCTATTTTCTATAGCTTTCTCTATTTAAAGCTCCTTACAAATCGTTACCCACAACTCTAATAGAATGTAACAAACTTGCCAGCTGGACAGTCTAGAATCTTCTCTTGGAACTGACTCTTTCACCTAGAGTCGTATCAATACTCCCTCCCAAAACTTTCACCTTGTCCTCAAGGTAAGGGTCAACCAGCAATAATCCTTCCTCCGGGGTCCCATTGCGTGAAATATAAGGACCAACTTATGACCAAAGCTTAATGAATTCCTCCAGGATCCCATTTCCCTTCCACACTAGTTCCATTATCAATTTCCAGCCTAAAAAGAACCTGTAATGTGCCGATAACAGTGCTTGATCACGCAGAGATAGAACCCTAATCGTTTGCTCCAAGAGTGCACCAAGTCCTCCACTACAAAGAACAGATTCTCCCAGTGCAATGGTTGGTTCTAATAGGATTGGAGACTAACATGAGTCTGGTTGAAGCAACAACAATCAACTTAAGCTTAATATCTTCAATAATCAGCTTTTAATTAGGTATCCAGAATTTAACCAATCTGCCCCCATGGTTGATCTTACTTGGCCCTTCTTCAATAATCCTTGTGAGGCATCTCATTACATATTGGTCCTCCTCAAACTCGTTGAGTTTTAAGACACTGGAGAGATTGTTTATCAACATTGAGAAGGTTGGATTGATATTTGAAGTAAACAGTGTTCCACCCACCTCGTTCGTTACTAAAAGTTTTTCAATACCACTTGCATCATACAAATGAGCGACATTTGGTTCAGAAACAAGAAAATGAACAAAATCTTAAAAGAACCTCAATGTTATGTGCCTTGTCATTTGATTTCTAAACAGAGTAATTACTTGAAAAAGGGTAATCTGATATATTATTGAATTGTATGTAAACTGTACAAAGGGTTCTCTATTTAAAGAGATTACATGACCTAATGGGATAAGCCCAATACAACAAATAAATAAATAAATATTGTTATTTACAACACTCCCCCTCAAGCTGAGGAATAGATATTTATCATTCCCAGCTTGTTAGTAAGCTCTTGAAATCTGTCTGAAGGAAGTCCCTTTGTCAATACATCAACTAATTGACGCCCAGTGAGAATGTATGGAGTGGTAATCAACCCGCTATCAAGTTTCTCTTTGATGAAATGGCGGTCGACCTCAATATGTTTAGTCCGATCATGTTGAACTGGATTATGAGCTATACAAATAGCGGACTTGTTATCGCATAACAGCTTCATAGGTCCCTCACATTTTATTTTGAGATCATCAAGTACAATTTTCAGCCACAATAACTCACAAATGCCTTGAGTCATAGCTCGAAATTCAGCCTCTGCACTTGATCTGACAACTACATCTTGTTTTTTACTTCTCCACGCCACCAAATTACCACAAAGAAACATACAATAACCAGTGGTAGAACGACGGTCAGTCACAGATCCAGCATAATCAGCATCAGTGTAAACTTCTAAAGAGAGATTGCCATCATGCCGGAATAATAGTCCTTTACCAGGAGTGGCTTTAAGGTACTGAAGAATTTTCTCCACTGCCTGCATGTGTTTCTCCTTTGGATCGTGCATAAACTGACTGACAACACTAACAACATAAGCTAGGTCTGGTCTAGTATGAGCCAGATACATCAGTTTTCCAACTAGCCGTTGATATTGTCCTTTATCAACTGGAGGACTCTCCTCTTCATAACCTAACTTGTGATTCTGTTCAATAGGAGTATTCGAGGGTTTACATCCAAGCTTTCCTGCTTCTTTGAGAAGATCAAGAACATATTTTCTCTGACTGATAAAAATTCCTTTGTTTGAATGAGCTACCTCTATCCCTAGGAAATATCTCAGTTTCCCAAGGTCTTTAACTTCAAACTTAGAGGCTAGTCGTGTTTGCAAAATATGTCTCTCCACAAAATCATCACCTGTTATAATAATATCATCAACATATACAAGGAGCACAGTGAGCTTCCCATCTTGGGAGTGCTTAAAGAAAAGAGTGTGATCTCCTTGACTCTGTTTGTATCCTAAGGTCATCATAACCTTAGTAAATCTCCCAAACCAGGCACGAGGTGACTGCTTCAATCCATACAAGGCTTTTCTTAATCTTCAAACTTTATTTTCTCCGTCCACAGAATCAAAACCAGGCGGGATTTCCATGTAGACTTCTTCTTCTAACTCACCATTAAGGAAAGCATTCTTCACATCAAATTGATTTATATCCCAATTGTAATGGGCAGCAAGGGATAACAAGACTCTCACCGTATTCATCTTTGCAACTGGAGCAAAGGTTTCTTCATAATAATGCCATAGGTCTGAGTGTAACCCTTGGCGACTAACCGAGCCTTATATCTCTCAAGAGTGCCATCAGAATTATACTTTAGGGCATAAACCCATCTGCACCCTACTACTTTCTTTCCTTTAGGTCTATCAATAACCTCCCATGTTTTATTTTTCTCCAACGCATTCATCTCCTATTGCATGGCTTAAGCCCAATTCTCATCTTTCAATGCTTCATGTACTGATTTTGGGATTGAAATAGAATCTAGTGCTGAAACAAAGCTTTTGTGCTGCACAGAAAGATTACTAGAAGAAACAAAATGGGAGATAGGGTATTGAGTTCAAGATCTTTTCCCTTTTCTTAGGGCAATAGGTAAGTCATCAGAAGCAGAAGCAATGGATAAGTCATCAGAGGTATCAGAAGAAATAGGCAAATCATGAGAGGCAATAATATTAGAATCAGAAACAGGAGATTCAAGACTTACCAGTGGTTCAGACGATTGAGGTTGTTGTTGAGACAGTATGGGTTGTTTCCTCCTCTGATATACCAATTCAGGTGTCAAAATCTTTTGTATCTCAGGTGTATTTGAAGGTTCTGACACACCAGGAGCAGACACACTAGGAAGAGGTGTAGGAGTAGACAAGGACGATCCAAACTCAAAGAAGGAAGGGGATGAGTCTTCTGAAGAACTATTCTCCCCATGAAGATGAAAACCCAGGAAATAAGACTCAGATTCTTGAAAGGTGACATCTATAGAAACAAAAAAAATTTGACTTGGTGGATGATAACACTTGTACCCTTTTTTATCAGGGGCATAACCATTGAAGACACACTTAAAAGCCCTAGGATCCAACTTACTGCGATGTTGTTTATGAACATGGACAAAGGCAACACATCCAAACACTCTTGGTGGAAGGCTCTGCAAAATGGGAACAAAAGGAAAGAAGGAAGTCATGGAATCAATAGGACGGGTATTGTTAAGGAACCGTGAAGGTAAGCGGTTGATCAAAAAGGCTGCAGCTAACACGGCTTCTCCCCAATAAGAATTAGGAACAGATGTCTGGAAAAGTAGTGCTCTAGCAACTTCAAGGAGGTCACGATTTCTTTTTTCAGCAACCCCGTTTTGTTGAGGGGTATCAACACATGTGAGCTCATGAATCATACCTCTGTCTGAAATGAATTGTGACAGGCGTTGGTTGACGTACTCAGTACCATTATCAGATCTTAGTCTTTTAATACACTTACCAAACTGAGTTTCAACCATGTGATGAAATCGAATAAATATCTCTGGTACTTCAGACTTGTCTTTCATCAAGAATATCTATGTTACCCGAGTACAATCGTCAATAAAAGAAACAAACCACTTGCACCTGAAACACTATGCACTTTAGAAGGGCCCCAAACATCAAAATGTATAAGAGAAAAAGGTTCGCTGCTTTTGATAGTTCTAGAAGGAAATGACACTCGATGGTGTTTTGGAAATTCACAAACATCGCAATGGAAGGTCTCAACCGACTGATTTAGAAACAGAGAAGGAAACATTGACTTCAATAGACTGAATGGTGGATGCCCCAGACGCTTATGATGGAGCCAAATCATAGACTCTGCAGTAGAAGAATGACGTGTCATTAATAACTGATTTTTGCTATCATTTATAGCATGTTCTGGAAGGAGATAATACAACCCATCCTGCTCATTAGCAACTCCAATTGTCTTCTTCGTGGTAAGATCCTGAATAAAACAATGAGAAGGGAAAAATGTGATGGAACAATTCAAATCAGTTGTAAGTTTTTGAGTGGAGATAAGATTAGTAGAAAGCTGAGGAACATAAAGAACATTTTTAAGAAACAAGGAAGGTTGAATTTGAATGTTACCAGAACCAATAACTGATTTATGGGATCCATCAGCTACGGATATAGTATGACTACCAACAATAGGATGATAAGAAAGAAAAAACTTAGTACGACAAGTCATATGATCAGTTGCACCAGAATCCAAAATCCATGAGGTTTTAAAATCAGTGCAAGAAGCAAGAAGAGATGTAGAACGTGTGTTCTTACCAGACAAGATCAAAGAACGGTCAGATGGCTTACACATATTATCAATAGCGGGTTTAAGCTGATCCATGAAGAGGAGACAAAACAAAGCAGGAAAAGTTTTTTTTTTTTTTTCGTGAACAGTACTCGATGAACAGTACCGCGTGAACAGTGACCGATGAACATTACCACGTGAACAGTGCGTAGGGATGGCAAAAATGAGCCAACCCGTCGGGTTGGCTCGTAACCCGCACAAAACGAGCCGGGTTGGGTTGGCAAAAATGAGCTGCCAGCTCGATTTAGCCCGACCCGAGCCAACCCGAGCTCAAACGAGCCAGCTCGCGGGTTGAACGAGCCAGCTCGCGGGTTACTCTTTTTTTTTTTTTTTTTTAATAAAATACAATGGACTTTACTGATGGATTCTCCACTGATGGACTTTACTATATTGGTCGCTTTTGCAGGTCCTTTTTTTTCATGATTGGCTTTTGATTCTAGATGCTTATCGTTGAAATATATAATGGATATCTTTTATTTTTTATTTTTTGGCTTTACATACGTTTTATGGTTATCGTGAGTTAGAGTAATTCAGAAAATCATGATAAATGACTCCTGTGATTCGTGGAGTGGTTTGTGTTTCATTTAATGTTTTTGGATTTTGTAAACTACTCTACTTGTAGTTGGACTGCAAAATACAATAATTTTATACAGGAGAACAAACCACAAAAATTAAATTTTTTGAGCCAACCCGCGAGCCAATATTTTGAGCTAACCAACCCGCGAGCCAACCCACTAGCATCATTTCGAGCTAACTCGTGAGCTTTTTTTGAGCCAACCCGTGAGCTTTTTTACGAGCCAACCCGCGAGCTGATTATCGAGCCAACCCGCGAGCCAACCCTAACCCGGCTCGGGTCGAGCCGGGTTGGGTTTTCTGGCTCGTTTTTTTTTTCGAGCCAACCCGACCCGACCCATTTTTTTCGGGCTGAATGCGGGTTGGGCCGGGTCGAGCCGGGTTGGCCCGTTTTGCCACCCCTAACAGTGCGCGATGAACAGTACCGCGTTTTTTTTTGTTTAGCTGTTCCGGTCGTCTAATGAAAAAGAAACCTCCGTAGAATGATAGATCTAAGATAACGGAGTGAAACAAGGGTCCTCACGGTCCAAAAGGTCCCCAGAATTTTTTTTTTCCGGTGGCGGCGAGAGGCAAATAGGGTTTGGTTTTTAAAGATGGTGATTTGCGGAAGCAGAACCCTCAGAATCGAGAGCTCTTATACCAACTTGAAAAAGGGTAATCTGATATATTATTGAATTGTATGTAAACTGTACAAAGGGTTCTCTATTTAAAGAGATTACATGACCTAAGGGCTAAGCCCAATACAACAAATAAATAAATAAATATTATTATTTACAACATAATTTGAGCGCACTTGCTTTAAACATAGAATACCCATCCAGCCCTTGAAAATTCAATGAATAAAAAGTTATACTACCCATCCCACTTCTGAAATTAGACAATTTGTGGACCTCACCTTCTCTCGTGCCCCTAAATGTTTAAGGTGGTGCTGAATTTGATTAAGGCAAGACAAGCACTTGAGATTTAGGTGAATGAGCACGAATGATGCTTCACATGATGGGCTTTATTCCCATTACTACTATCTTTTTTTTTGCGGAATTAGTGTGCATGGCTGCTGCTTGATGGGCTTTGTTCCATGTGAGAGTTGACTTGAAGGTGCATCCCCGATTGGTGACATCAGTTGGCCATGCTATCTATTCGTTGTTAGTGGGTGGTTTTGTTGAGATCTGTGCTTTGGCAATTTCCACTTTTGCCCCTCTTCTAGCAATTTTTGTTTCTGCTTTCCCATTTCTTTTTTTCTATTCTGTTTGGGCTCACAAGCCTACCCCCCTTTCTTTTGGGTTGGATTTGAGAGCAGTCGACCTTCACTTGGGCTGGGTCTTCAATTTCGTCCAATCCCATTCCTAACCCGATAAATTCCTCTTTCGATTGTTCTTCATGCTCCCTTCTTTGTTCATGGGCACGCTCCTCCCTTCTCCCAAAAAGTTTCATGTCCCATGGCATGGAAAATGGAGGCGGACCGACTTCCTCCCTCTCTTTTTTTCTTTCTATATCAACCTTAATTATCTCTTTGAAGCGAGTAGGCTCTTCCGAGTATCCTTACGTGCTTCGGCTTTTTGAACCGGCTATGGGACTAATTCCTAGTGCGGGCGGGTCTGAGATTAAGATTTTATTCTCCTCTCTAAGAGGGCGAGACTAATCTCTCTTCTTCATTTTTAGTAAACGATTATCACAGATTCGAAAATTATTAGTAGATCGCCGGTTGCATTCCACAATTTCACCTTGTCTTTCGTCTACTTGTCTTCCATTGAAATCGATTTCAGTGGAAGGTGTTCTCAACAACATTGATGAGCTTCAATATCTCTGCATTTTTGTCTTCTATTCTGCTCCTTCTTTCTTCCAAAGCTTCTATTTTGTCCATTCTATCTTCTACGGCTTCCATTTTGATTTCCATATATTTTTTTGTACCAGAGCTCCTAAATCAAAGCTCTGATACCATTTGATAAGTACTAACCAATAACATAAGTAGAAGATGGAGTAAAGACTGGGTATTATATTGATGAAAGTTTATATTATCTTGACAACAACAAATCCAGATTATAGTGATGATAGAAATCGAAAGAAATAACAAGAAAACAAGTGTCCAAGCCTTTCGAGAGGGTTGGTCTCTCCCAAATCCAAGTCCTATGCCAAGATTGCCTACCAATTTTCAATAGCTTCCTCTATTTAAAGATCCTTACAAATCATTACCCACACATCTATCAGAATGTAATAAACTTGCGAGCTGGACAGTCTAGAATCTTCTCTCATAACCGATTCTTTCACCTAGAGTCGTATCAGATTATCTATCTTTTATCTTATTATATGTGCTTTGTCTAATGCAGTTGTTAGCCTTGCATATTTAATATAAAAACTTGTGCTGAAAAAGTGACTGATTTCTACATTTTGTTTAGTGGTACTCTTTTTTCTTATATAGTCGGATTATTGCTAATATTTTTTACTAAGGTAGGGTTTGGTAGATGTGTTAGAATGGGACATATTCTATGTTAGTTACATTTTAAAAATAGAACAGAAATGGACATGGGGTTAAGAAATAGTACATTTTGGTTCCACTAAAAGGATGAAACTAAGTAGATAAGAGCTGAACAGAATCGTTCCAGTCTGTTCTGTCCACATGATGCTATATAATTCATATTGCATATTGCAAGAAGTATTTTTGTGGTGTACTAGTATATTGTGCAGACATCCATATTATTATTATTATTACCTAATTATGAGTAAATGTGCTATTGGCAGTGATGCCAAAATTCCTATTTCTTCTGCTAGTAATGAAGACCGATTGTCACGGGCAGATATTGCTGCTTCATTTCAGGTTAGTTATATTTTTGTAGTGTTTTGTAGATTATGAGAGTATCTTTCCCTTTCAGATCTAGTTAAAAAAAGTTTAGTATCTCCCTCTTATTTAAAATTTCCTCAACTTCTTTTTTCTTAACCTTTAACCCATATGCTTTAGTGTATATCTTATTTATTTTATTTTCTAATGTCAAGCAGCGAATTGCAGTGTTACATCTTGAGGAAAGGTGTGAACGAGCAATACAGTGGGCATTGAAGATGGAGCCTTCTATAAGATACTTGGTAGTTCGAAGTCTAAATTGCTGTTCTCTGTCAAATAACATCAATACTTCTCCTTTTCTATTAATTTCTATTGAAAAATATGATTGTCATTATACTTCTTTTATGTTGTAGGTTGTCTCTGGTGGTGTTGCATCAAATCAATATGTTCGGGCTCGGCTTGATATGGTTGTGAAGAAGAATAGCCTGCAACTTGTATGCCCTCCTCCCCAGCTTTGTACGGACAATGGTAATCATATTTTTTTAGTTTTGATTTTGGTAATGAAGCCTAACTCTGTATGTCGTGCTTCTTTGCATTGTATTAGGCATTTGGCAACCAATGTAAAAATTTGTCCAATCCCTTATGACATATGTCAATGATTATGCTGGTCATTATTCATAAGTAAGGCATTGTATGGCTCGAGTAGAGAGTTAAATTAGCTAAAGCTTCTGCATCGGTGCTTGGATGTTGTGCAAAATTAGCAAGGGTTCTCACATTTTCTGGACAGTTGTGAGTAAAGAAGTTTATCCATGTAGTAGGATTCATTCTGATCATTGAAATATTGGAAGAATCAGTTAAATTTATTAAAGTAATTGACACCATGGTTAGAAGGAGTATTAACTTAATGTGCCTTCATGCAACCTAGTGGGTTGGAGAAAAGACTAAGAAATTGGACGCTTTAAGATTTAAACTCGGGTACATCAAGAAGAATTAGTGAATAATAATGAAATAATTCCTTCATAATGATAGGGATTGGAGACAAAGTTTACGTGGAGTAAGTCATGCTAGGGCTTTTTTAATGGTAGTTTTTTACATATTCCCTTTGTATGGGAAAGAAGTGGACTCTAAAGGGACTACTAATTGAGTTAAGGGATCAGACTGAATCAGATTGTTGAGAATTCATATTTGCCATTGAGAGCAAAACAGGTGCCAATCAAACTTGCAGTGATTCTGAAATTCATTTACCTATATGCAAGGACATTGACAAGATTTTCTTGTATAGATGAGGTCTAATGCTCTTCCTTTTCTCACTTTTTTAGTTCATTCTCCTTGGTACTCTTCCAAAGGAGCATATGAAGAAAAAGAAAAAGATACTCTCCATTTCTCAATTGTAAATTGTATTATCTTGATGCTCTCTTTTTATAGATCTTTTGGCCATCCAAGTTTCTTGATCCATTATATAAAAAATGCAAATTAGGATGGTACTTATCAAATGCATTATGCATGGCATTGCATGCAGCATAGAAAATTTTGTTTTAGTTTTATGAAAGCTGTTCATATCTTACCAGCTTGCTTTTGAAATGAATAGGTGTAATGGTTGCTTGGACTGGTATTGAACACTTCCGCATGGGAAGATATGACCCTCCACCTCCTGCTGAAGAACCAGAGGACTTTCTGGTGTGTTTTCTGAACATTGAAAAATATATGGATTAAAGCACTTTTTTATCAGCTAAATTTGCTTTCCTATTGTGATTCACTAGATGGATTTGGATAATAAATTTATTTAGTGAAAAAGGTATGGTTAATGCTTTTTACTCAATTAACAAGATCAGTTATCATTGTTATGTAGGTCATAAAAAATGTTGTATCCATTTATAAGTGATCCTTTTTATCAACTCTCATGGAAGGCCATCTCAAGTTGTTTTTCACTTCTTTTTCTAATTATTTTTCTATGTTCCATTCCTTTCTAACCTATTAGGCAAATGTACCGGGCAACAGGATTTAGCCGATTTGTATTTGATGAACCTTGTTGATGTTAATAATGTGAAATTCGCAAGGCTTTAGTGCTACTTGCCATTGCTGAAATTTTATTCATGGTTAAATTGGACAACTCTTATCTCAATTTGAGTAGGCAACGTAAATTTAACCTGTGCATGCTACATATTATGCTGGTGTTTCATCAGTCACTAAACTGTATCAGACTATGATTCATTTCAGTATGATTTACGCCCAAGGTGGCCTCTAGGGGAAGAATATGCTGAAGGAAAAAGTGAAGCACGCTCCTTAAGAAGGGCTCGTGTTCATCCTTCTCTTACATCTCTAATTCAAGCATCATTGCAACAGTGACATTGCATGAGCTTCCATGTTGCTTCAACCTCTTTTATGAAGTTCTGCAGGGCAAGCCACTCTTTGACTTACCTCTGATTTCTGAAATGACATCTTTGGCTGAGTTTTCAATAATACATAAAATTTGTCCAACTTTGCTGGGGAAAGTAGCCATTGGCATCAAGCAGGATCACAGAGAAAATCCAGCAAAGCAGTGTCACAGAAGGGAGAAACCTTACAATTGTGGTTGGTAGAAGTGAAAATAGGAGTGGGATAGGAATAGATGAAAATTGATTAATGCTATTACCAAAATTTTACAACTTAAAAGAAAAAAAGAAGAAGAAAAACTCTGCATCTATGCCTTATTCTTTAGGTTATCTGTAAAATCTAGTATCATAAAACAAGTTGTATTTATTTTATCCACAAAGTTGTGGTTCTAGCCTATTTCTGCATAATCTCTAGATATATTGTCAAGTCTTCATGTTTCCCTTCCACAACTTCCCTTTTTTAAAAAATAAAAAATAAAAAATCTTTACCATGCACACGAAAAGTATTGCTGTTAACTTCTGTACAAATTATCGGTAACATTAACTTTTTTCATTTCAATCCATTGGTATGTATTAAGATTATAGAAATTTAACCTTGATAGCATGAGTTAACATTCTCTTGGCTATTTATTTATTTTTATTTATACAAAGATGATACTGAAGTTTGAATTTATGACTTCATATAAATTATTTAAACCTCTTACCATTAGATCAATCTTAGTAACTTTTTTCTTGACTACTTTATTATAGTGTATATGTGTTTGTGTTGGATCAATTGACAGCAAAGTTTGATACTTACTTTTTAGTAAAATTTGATACCTTTATGTTATAAATTAAAAAAATTCTCATAATAACTGGATGAAAGATTCCCGTAGTAGCAGTTTTTTGTTTTATTTTGAGTTTTTGTTTTATTATAGATTAGATACTAATATTAGATATTTAATGAAAGAGTATTAATGAATGATATTATTTATAAAATAAATATATATTGTATATCTTGAATTTATATTATGCTATATAAATTCTTCTTTAATAATTTATGCTAATAAATTTAAAAGAAGAATATATATTATATTAAATAATATTATAAATTCAATATTATCAATATATTAATTTAATAAATGCATATTAAAATATATTAATAAAATAAAATCACATATAAAATGATTTCTTATTTAATTTAAAATATTCTTGTTTTTTAGTATGGATAAATTATTAGATTTTATATATTTATTGTTAATAATTTCATTTAATGAACTTTAAATACATATTGTAAAAAAGAATCACTTATTATTTTATGACTTAAAAAAAGGGTTAGGTGACTACCAAAAAAAAAGGGGAGGGGGGGCAATGCAAAGCCCACACACGCAGGACATATTTTGAAAGATCCACATTTATGTAACATGTTATATTTTCCGCCTACGATTTATGATTGGAATTAGTGTTTGTAAATTGTAGATACATAAAAGTATTTATGATTCATTTTTTTTTTCATTTTAATCTTCATATGGGCCTCACACTTTTATCAGTGTAATAGATAAAATATCTCTTATAATATGAGAAATATTAATTCTTTTATGTTTTTTTATGCTAAAGATAAAGATAGAAAATAATGTTTTTCTTTTCTAAAAATAGAAAAAAGCATAAAGTAAAAAATGCAAAAAATTTAGGAGGGTATATTGGATTGAGATTTTAATGGATTATTTTTTAACAAAAAAATTCATTGGTATTCAATTAAAATTTTACAAGATTGTAAAAAAAAGTCACGTGGTATTCTATTAGAATTTTAAAATAGTTTTAGAGTCCGTCCAAATCCGGTGGTATTCAATTAAGATTTTAAACAAAGAAAAAATTAATATTATGGTATTAAAAACTCTGACGATTTTAATGATTTTTCTATTAGTGTAGATTTTATGAGATTTTTTAATGAGAAGTATAAATAGAATGTCTCTCTCACAATTTATCGTAACCCCTGAGATTCCTTTATTGCGGTGTCTCGCAATCTACCCCGGCCTTTTCTCAAAGCTAAGGTATGTTCTTTTTTGACTCTCGTATATTTTCTCTCTGAATCTTGGCATTTTGGCATTCTTCCTTATGCTATCATTCTTCATGATTAACTGATGATTTATGGTTGTGCTTGTCGTCTTGGATGATGTGTTACATTTTATTTTATTTTTGATATAATCGTAGCAATGGTAATACATTTACGATAAACATGTTTAATAAATAGTATATTGCCGATAAAAATTTCTTAAGACTTTTTATGCACTATATTAGGCACATAATCAGAAACAAATTTCAATATTCATTTGTTGAATAACAAGAAAAAAATTGTTGTTGCTATTGCATAACTTACTTTCATCACTGAGTTAAAAGAGTATCTACTCAACAATGTTAAGTATTCTCATATCATAATAAATACAAATTACTCTTTGACAAGACAATAAGCAGAAGAATAATATCCATTATGCAATCAGTACAGATGCTAACTTTTCACTTTATGATCTATTAAATTAGTATAAATACATTAATATTTGGGCAATGTTTTCTCATGCTATTAGAGAGGAGAAAATCTCCTACACACTCAAATTTATGGTGGAGTCCACACATAAAAAATAAAGAAAACAAAAAAAATTATTACACGCAAAATGAACTCTCACTAACATGAGAAGAGAACTCTCCTACAACATAAGAATTCTTTTTCCCTTAATATTTACTATAAATAATTTCATATAATCATTTTAATAAATTTTCTAAAAAAATATTGATGAAAATGAAATAATTTTTTTTAAATATGAATTACATACTCCATTACACTAATAACATGCAAAAGTATCACAAAGTTTTAATGAATTTTATTGATATAATTTTTTGATTTGACTATCCTTATTAAGAATCACCTTTGAATATCTGTTAAAAGTTTATATGATTTTTTAAAATTTTATAAATTCATATTATTTTTTAAATCTTATAAAATTTATTAAAATTCTTTAAAATTCAATCTTATAAAATCTTAGTTTTAAATTTTTTAAATCAATACAATTTTAAATAACATTTTAAAATATGGGGAAGGTTATACTTACCACCTATTTTTCTTTACAACCTCTTACAACCAATATCTTAACCGTTGATTTCCGTCAATCAGCAGTTAAGATTTTTGCAAATAAAATTTATTAAATAATTATTAATTCACAATAAATCTTAACCGTTGATTGACGGAAGTCAACGGTTAAGATATTGGTTGTAAGAGGTTGTAAAGGAAAATAGGTTGTAAGTATAACCTTGGAGTGTTCATCAACCGATCCAAACCGATTCAAACCGCGAAAATCGAACCGAAAAACTGATAACCGAAAAACCGAAAACCGAAAAATCGGAAACCGAAAGAAAACCGCAAATTTTAATTGGATTGGATCGGTTTTCAGATGGGTTGATGAAAACTGATCCAATCCAAACCGATCCAATATATTAATTATCCTCTACCTACTTGTCCTTTCTCCAATCACAGCCCAAAAATTTGTAAACTCAAGACCCATTAACTCATCAACTAAACCCAAAAAAAAACTTAGTCACGTCTCATCAACTATAGTATTGTTTACTGATATTTTTATATTTCAATGTTTTTTTTTTACAAAGCCAATATATACAAAGGATGTTATTTGCACAATAATCATGAAACTAATTTTAGGATATTCAAAAAACCGAAAACCGATCCAATCCAAACCGAAAAAAATTGGATTGGATCGGATCGGATTTGAAAAAAAATCTAAACCGAATGAATGATTACATGATCAAACCGAAGAGATTGGATTTGATGAGTTTTGCTTCCAAAATCGATCCAATCCAGACTGCGAACACCCCTAGTATAACCTCACCCTTAAAATATAAAAAAAAATTAGGAAGAGGTTATAGTTACAACCTTTTTTTTTTACAACCTCTTACAACCATATATCATAACCGTTGATTTCCGCCAATCAACGGTTATGATTTTCGCAAATTAAACTCATTAATTAATTATTAATTCATAATAAATGACAACCGTTGATTGACGGAAATCAACGGTTATGATATATGGTTGTAAGAGATTGTAAAAAAAAAAAATTATAAGTATAACCTTCCTCAAAAAAAATTATCTCAAAATAATCTTTTAAATTCCAACTCCTATACACCACTTGAAATATTCCATATGGATTGTTGATTTGGTTAAGAGAGTATTTAAAATCTCATAAAGAAACAAAGAACCTCGTTTGAGGTTAATGTTCCTTGACGCTGACCTCACTCCTCACTCCATCGAAGGTGAAACCACCCTTCACCTTCACCTTCACCTTCGTTCTCTCTGCTTCGTTCACGGTAAGTACCCTCCTTTTCTCTATAATACCCTCTTCTTCTTATCTTGCTTTTATGAACTCTTCGTTATTTATCTGCTTTTTCTTCTTTTCTTTTTTTTAATTCTTTAGAGGATTCATAGTTGGATTAGAACAACAATTCTTGGTGTTTTCCTGTGACCTAATTCTATTGTTGTTCTGTGCACCCATTTGTGTTTGTGTCTATACACACACGTCGCGCACACACACTCACATAACATTTAGTTGTTCTGAATTTATGGTGTTGGACTTAGGAGAAAGTTGACAATGTGAATATTATTGCCTAACAATAACTGTACAAAAATAAAATAAAATATGAAAAACAAAAAAACCCTTCAAGTTTGTCTGTGTAATTCAATTTTGTTATTGATTCTTTCCATGGTTATTGTCTGAAGTGTGATGTAGTTTGGTCATGTATCATTAAGTGACTCTCCTTTCTTAACAAGCAGTGGAACTTTGGGAGGACATTGTCAAGAAATGCTTGTTCAGTATGTCAACAAACTCGGATACCGTTATCACCCTTTGATCCCAACCCCACTTTTAGGCCTCCTTCTTTCTTGTTTGCATACTCGTTCATTGTCTCCTTGTGTCAAACCCATCAATTGGAACACAACCCACAGCTTTGTTAGAAAGAATCCACTCCTTTCTGTCTTGGAAGGATGCAAGTCCTTTGTCCAGTTAAAGCAAATCCAAGCTCAAATGGTCTTGACAGGCTTGATAGATGATGGCTTTGCTGCGAGTCGTCTTGTTGCATTCTGTGCTCTCTCTGAATCGCAAAACCTTGAGTATTGCATGAAAATATTGTATCATACCGAAGAACTGAATGTCTTTTCTTGGAATGTGACAATTAGGGGATATGTGGAAATCGGGGACTTAGAAGGAGCTCTTCTGTTGTACAAGAGAATGTTGAGTTATGGTATGTTGAAGCCGGATAATTATACTTACCCTTTATTGCTTAAAGCTTGTTCTTGTCCGTCTCTAAACTGTGCCGGACTTGCTATACTTGGACATGTGTTGAAGTTTGGTTTAGAATTTGATATATTTGTGCACAATGCGTCAATTACTATGCTACTCTCGTGTGGAGAGTTGGAGACTGCATTTGATGTGTTCAATAAAGCATGTGTGAGAGACCTGGTAACCTGGAATTCCATGATTACTGGGTTTGTTAGAAGAGGACTAGCAAACGAGGCTATAAAACTCTATCGGGAAATGGAGGCGGAAAAAGTGAAACCGAATGAGATTACAATGATTGGTATCGTTTCTTCTTGTTCGCAGTTGCAGGATTTGAACCTTGGCAGAGAATTTCATCGTTACATCAAAGAACATGGGCTCGAGTTGACAATTCCACTCAATAATGCGCTTATGAACATGTATGTGAAGTGTGGAGACCTATTGGCTGCGCGAGTTCTATTTGATAACATGGTACAAAAGACCCTTGTTTCATGGACAACAATGGTTTTGGGATATGCCAGATTCGGTTTTCTGGATGTTGCTAGGGATCTTTTATACAAAATTCCAGAAAAGAATGTTGTGCCTTGGAATGCAATCATCAGTGGCTGTGTCCAAGCCAAGAATAGTAAAGAGGCATTGGCTCTATTCCATGAAATGCAAATTAATAAAATAGAACCTGATAAAGTGACCCTGGTAAACTGCCTGTCTGCATGCTCACAACTAGGAGCACTTGATGTAGGAATATGGATTCACCATTATATAGAAAAACACAATCTTTGTCTAGATGTTGCCATGGGAACTGCACTAGTTGATATGTACGCCAAGTGTGGAAATATTGCAAGGGCTCTCCAGGTTTTCCAAGAGATTCCTCAGCGAAACTGTTTAACCTGGACAGCCATTATTTGTGGTTTAGCACTTCATGGGAATGCTTGTGATGCTATATCCTATTTCTCAAAAATGATTCGCATTGGATTAATGCCTGATGAGATCACCTTTGTTGGTGTCTTATCAGCTTGTTGTCATGGAGGTTTAGTTGAAGAAGGCCGCAAATATTTTTCCCAAATGAGCTCTAAATTCAATATATCCCCAAAGCTTAAACACTACTCATGCATGGTGGACCTTTTAGGAAGGGCTGGTCATTTGGAGGAAGCAGAAAATCTTATTAAAAACATGCCCATTGCGGCAGATGCCGCAGTGTGGGGTGCTTTATTCTTTGCTTGTCGTGTTCATGGGAATGTTCTAATTGGAGAGAGGACAGCTTTGAAGCTTCTTGAGATGGATCCTCAAGATAGTGGAATCTATGTTCTACTTGCCAGCATGTACAGGGAGGCAAAAATGTGGAAGGAGGCAAGGAATGCAAGGAAAATAATGAAGGAGAGAGGAGTAGAGAAGACTCCTGGTTGCAGCTCAATTGAGGTCAATGGCACTGTGCATGAGTTCGTGGTGAGGGATGCATCACATCCACAGTCTGAATGGATTTATGAATGCCTGGTTTCACTGACAAAACAGCTGAAGCTTCTTGGATTTACATAGGATGTTCCCGCGTATGAAGATAATCTTTTTTCCTAAACTTGTCAGCCTGTATGCCGTATCTCTGCTAATTTAATTATAGTCTTCCCTGGAGAGCCTGGACCTATTTTTCATTCTATCAGGAGGCTTCTACCTTAGAAAATGTATAGATATAAAATGAAGCCATGTCGCTGCAGTCCTGCATCCTCTCACTCATTTCAGTCATCTTTTGTTCACTTTTATAACTTAAGTTCTTCTTTGCAGAAGAATGCAGAGTATTTGATTATTTTTTGTGGCTATACTTCGGTGTCTTACTTGGAAAACATGAAAACTTGTCTTGCACATCATCAAATATTTTCTTGGTTAGCCAGCCAAATGTTTGCCATATCTTCCTCACCTGTATGGATTATATTATGCTTCAGAGTTTGGATGAATCATTTTTTTCCCTGACTGCTGCATCATGTTAAGGACACCTGCTATTCTGCTGAATTGTGTCAAATTTGTTATACATTGCAAGGATGAGATGAACAGGACTATGTGGGTTCGGACCTGCAAGAGTGTTGCAATCTGTTACCATTACAAAACTTTAACATGGTCAATAATTGATCTGTCAGTATGATATCTATGATAAGATTCTTCAAGACTAATTTTATATTGATTTTCCTTGACAAAAAAATCTTAAAACAATCATTATAACACCCTAAGAATGTTTACCCAAGCAATGATCTGGATGTGTGTGTCAGCCTTTATATTTGTAAAGAACCAATTCTACTCAAAAGCTTAAGTTGTTGGGTGAGGCTATATCAATGGTTTTATATATCTCAACACGCCACCTCACACGAGAGCCCACTGGGCTGGAAGGGTGGACAATGCACAGGCCCACCTACCTGTGCGAAGAAAGAAATTCCACTAGAAAGAAAGTGGGGGGCGGTGAGGATCGAACCCGGTACATCGAGGCTCTGATACCATGTAAAGAACCAATTCAACCCAAAAGCTTAAGTTGTTGGGTGAGGCTATATCAATGGTTTTATATATCTCAACAATATTGATAAAGAAGGAAGACCTTTTGTGTCTTATGTTAATTGTCTGTTACAGAATCAGAAAACAACTATAGCATCGTCTGGAGAGATCAACTTAAAGAAATTAGGAATACTTAATAAAAATCTCAGCTCTTAACATATTTTTAATATGGATTTTGATCACTATTGCATTTTAAAGCATTTAATTTTGTCTTATGAATATGCTGTATCAACAGGGCCAAAAGAATATTTTTTAAAAAATAAAACTTTTGTAGAAATCATATCATTGACACTTCTTTATTTTTTTCTGCCTTTTGATCTGATATAGCATTTTAGTTTCAAGACATGATTCATATGTATTGATTCATTTTCACTTTCCTGTATTGCTGTTTTTATTTTATTTTAAATGCTTTTCTCCTGCTGCTATGTACTACTTGCTTGTAATATTAACAACTAAATTATTCTGTAATCTTGGACTCAGAACTTAGGAGTTGGGAGGAAGTAGACATTGTGAATTTTGTCTTGACATTGACCACAGCAATTCAGAACTGGAGTCAATAAAAGTTATTTGCATATCACTACCAAAGTGGACAACAGTGAAATGGTAGGGTGGCCTAAAGTCTTTGGTTGCTGCTACTTTTCAGTCCCCTTTTACTTGTGAATTACATTGAACCATTGCGGTTTACTGACAGCTATGTTTTTAATGATAGGCTTCATACAAGGAGTTATCTAGGACTGCGCAAATTCGCCTTGTGAGTTCACATGAGGAGGTCTATGAACCTTGTGATGATTCTTTCGCGCTGGTTGATGCTCTTCTAGCTGACCGCTCTAACCTGTTGGAACATCATCCAACATTGTGCATGGAGATAGGTTGTGGTAGTGGATATGTTATTACTTCCCTAGCTCTTATTCTTGGGCATGAAGGCATTAACTATATTGCAACTGATATCAACCCGCACGCGGTGAGGGTGACCCGCGAGACACTGGAAGCTCATGGGGTTGATGCAGAGTTGATAATAACAGATATTGCATCAGGACTAGAGAAACGTTTAGCAGGTTTGGTTGATGTTATGGTTGTGAACCCTCCTTATGTGCCTACCCCTGAAGATGAAGTGGGAGCTGAAGGTATTACCTCTTCTTGGGCTGGTGGGGAGAATGGAAGGAGTGTAATTGATAGAATTTTTCCTGTTGCTGAGAATCTTTTGTCAGAAAAGGGATGGTTGTACATGGTCACTCTCACTGCAAACAATCCTTCTGAGTTATGTCTTCAAATGAGAAAGAAGGGATATGCTTCTAAGATTGTTGTTCAAAGATCGACAGAGGAAGAAAGTCTCCATATCATCAAGTTCTGGAGGGATTTTGATGCTGAAGTAGATGAGATAACAAACCAATCTGCTTCTGGATTCATAGGCTCCTTGCTTACACAAATTCCTCTACTTTCATACTGGAGAGGCAACAATAGTGACAATAAATGTTGAAGGAGAAAATAATTGATTATCTATGTTTCTGGGATATCTTTCTTGTCTTGACAACAACCAATCCTTACCTCACTAGATGGGGTCAGCAATATAGATCAATTGACGCCATTCAGCTCTATCAAAAACCAAATTTTCAATAAAAACTATTTAAAACTTTCCTCTCATATTTTCTTTGGTCTTTTTCTATTGCATTTAATTGGATTATCTTCTATTTGATTTACTTTTCTCACTACTAGAGCTTTTATTAGTCTTCTTCTCACTTGATCAAAACTATCTTTTGGCAAGTTTCCATCATTAGATGCTTCTTAATCTTTCTCTTGGATACATTCATTTCTTTTCTTAAGAAACTATTCATCTTCTTATATTTTAGGGTAACTAGTAATACTTAGTGTGCATGGTAGCTATATTCTTTACTAAATAACAAACATAGGCACTTTTTTATTTATATTATCGCAACATTTATCAGTGGTATAAAAAAAGTTTTGATGTTCTGAGTGAATCAAATTTAAAAAGAAAAAACTGTATTTTTTTTTATGTTTATTAACATACTTCACAAACTTTTGTAAAACAATATAATCAAATACTTTAAATTTTTTTTTTTTTTGGAAATACAAATACTTTAAATTTAATTTACCGTAAGAATTTTACCAAAAAAAAAAATTACCGTAAGAATAAAGTTTTTTTACTTGAATATGTGGATACATTATTAAAAAGTAATACGGTTGCGATAATCATTTTCTTAATGAGTTAACAAAATATATAATTAATTAGGGTTTAATACTTTTCCAAGCGCGGGTAATAACTTATCTCTTGTGATCAAAAGACGGACAGGTAATAACTTTACCTTTTGTGAGTCCAAAAGATGGTTTCGGTTTTGAGGTTAAAGAAAGATATTTTTGTATTTTTAATTTATTTTGAAATTATATTAATCTTTATTATTATAATTATTTTTCTTTGAATTCCAAATGATATGGTTATCACTTATGGGATTATAGGAGATAATTTTTATTTTCAGTAATCGAAGAAATATTAAACTTAATTAAATAAAGTAGGATTAACTCACGCCATTGTAAATTATAAAGAAATCAACGATTAAAATTTGGTGTAATATTTATTATTTTTATACTGATATAATTTGTTAAATAATAATACATGAAAAAGATTATACTTACAATCTTTTTTTTTTACAACCTCTTACAATCATATCTTAATACCGTTGATTTCTACCAATCAACGATTATCATTTATTGTGAATTAATAATTAATTAATGAGTTTAATTTGCGAAAACCATAACCGTTGATTGGCGGAAATCAACGGTGTTAAGATATGGTTGTAAGAGGTTGTAAAAAAAGAAGTTATAAGTATAATCTACCTCATAATACATTATTAAAAAATTTAAAACAATAAACATCTATTTAAAAATTATTAAAATTACTTAGGCAGTAATTCAACTTTTTTTCTTCTTCTTTAAATATCAAATATTGGATTTTATGTCCTTAAAATGTTAAATGTTGGTTGTTGTTTTTGTCAGCAAAAGACAAAGTGAGAATTTTAGCCAAAGAAGAAGATGAAGGTGCAACAGCGACACTGAGAGTGGAAGAAATGGAGATTGGTATGCTACCAATTTCAGCTTCAAAGAGAGGAAAGCTCTTAGCAGCTGGTTACACCACACTCGATGCCATTGCTTGCGCCTCCCCTTCTCACCTTGCTCGAGGTTTCAATTCAAAACCCTTTCATTTTCCCTGCATTTTGCTATTGGGGCATGTTTATATGTTAAAAAAAAAAAAAAAAATCATTTTTTTAATTGAATTTTGTTTTTTTTCCCACATACCCATTATTTCACTTGAATTCAGATATAGAAGTTTCTGAAAGTGAAGCTTCAGAAATTCTGAAATATGCAACCAGAACTAGTGCTTTGGACAGATCAAATGGAAGTCACAGTGCTGTTGTTGATGGTATGTGTTGGTTCTAATGATGCATAACTGCTTTTATTTTCAGTTTGTTATTTTGCTATTCTTTTAAGTATTGATCAAAATATTTATTTAGCTTTTATTTCATGTGTAAAAAGTGCATGCTCATTTAAAATTCCGGTGGTCTCGAATTCGGGTATAGAGCTGTCTTAAAAACTTGGTAGGGAGAGCTTTGGTGCCCTTGTGATAATGCTGGACTCGACCGGATTAATAGATTAATCAATGAACTGGTGGAGAAATTTCTAAAAAAAAAATTAAAAAGACCACACCAACTTTGCATACCTCCTCCTATAACTTTTTTTGGGGTCAAGTGGTAAGGACTACTATGGATTTGGTCAGCCTTTGCCTTTGACCATCAATTTGTGTTGAAGATAATGTTCCAAAGAGGTTAAGGGTAGGGAAAGCTCCCATCAATTGTGTGTGATCCTAGGTTATGCACTTAAAACTTAAAGGTACCGTACCAGATGAAGTTTCAATTTATGATATCAAGTTTTTAGAATCCGGGATGTATTGTATCTTAGAAACTGAGTTAATGGAAATTTTGGGCCAAAATCAATAGCTTTCATTTATTTAAATTTGGAGCTTCCTACCATGTGAATAATGCTGATGGGTAAGATTTATGACAAATGTTTAAGGACTCTACTATTGAATCCATGCTCCACCATGGCGAGCCAATTGACTCTACTAAACAATAGTTTATCCTTAGACGGGATGCAAAATTATATTTTACATATCATCTCATTCCCAAAAATACTCACTCCTCATGTGAGTATGAGAAGATTACTGATTGGCGAAGGTCAAGCAATAAGTGCTTTGATTACTTGATATGTGACCTTCTCTTACAATTGAAATACATGTGTATTGCATTCTTTTCGTATTATATGAATTAAATTCAATCCAGTATATTCTACAGAACATGATTCACTCAAGTTTGTGTCATGCAGGTGGTCAGACAGCTTGGGATATGCTCAATGAGGAAAAGTTTTCGTCTTGCATTACTACTTCTTGTGCGGATCTGGATAACATCCTTGGTGGAGGGATTAATTGTAAAGAAGTCACTGAAATTGGTTAGTGTCTGTTTTGGCTTCTCTTAATAGTATGAAACTCATAATCATGACTTCCAATTAAATATACATTACTTGTTTTTAAGCACAAATACTTAGCAGTTTTCTTCTTCCTCTCCTTTTTCCCTTTTCTGGGCTGCGAAATAATTCTTTCTTTATGTATTTAGGTGGAGTTCCAGGAATTGGTAAAACACAATTTGGGTATGCTTTGTCATCCCAATTTTCTACACCATGTTGTTCTTGTTTTTTTCATCCTAAATCGCTAAATATTTGAGTTATTTGTTATAGTGAGTGATGTTTACTTTTGCAGGATTCAACTTGCAGTAAATGTTCAGATTCCATTAGATTATGGTGGCCTAGGTGGGAAGGCAATATATATTGGTAAGAGCCTTAATCAGATTCTAATACTCATTCAGCATTTAAAGCAGGTCATTGATTATACTTCTTGTGCCTGTGAGATACTCAGACACAGAAGGAAGCTTTATGGTCGAACGTGTTCTACAAATTGCTGAAGCATGCATAGAAGACATGTCAGAATATAGCCACCACTTTCACAAGGATTCTCAAGCTTGTGAAGTTAAAATGCACCCTAATAGTATCTTGGACAACATATTCTATTTTCGCGTTTGCAGCTATACTGAGCAAATTGCTTTGGTGAATTACTTAGACAAATTCATCGCAGAACATAAAGATGTAAGTATGCTATTTAATCTCTTGAATTGATATTTTTTAGCAAACATATTGAGGATGATTCATGATTTCAATTGCCTTATTCCTTCCCATCATACATTGCCTTGGATTGTGGACAATGGAAGTACCCTTGCTTTTTAATCTATTGTTTTAGTGCATCTTAAGTATTCCACCGTGATCTTTTTTAATACATTATTATAGGTAAAGATCATCATTGTTGACAGTGTTACTTTCCACTTCCGCCAAGACTTTGATGATATGGCTCTCAGGACTCGATTACTTAGTGAAATGGCTTTGAAGATGATGAAACTTGCAAGAAAGTTCTGTTTGGCTGTAAGAATCAATTTATTCAGCTTGCCAGATGTGTTTTGTATTGAACTTAATCTTTGATTGCAGCCAAATCAGCTTCCTTGGCTTAATGTCCAGTCCTTTTTTGACTTCTTTTCCGTCGGGAGATTCTTTTTCGCCTCCTTGATTTTCAATTATCAATTTGATTTTCTTGCAGGTTGTTTTGTTGAATCAAGTAACAACCAAGCATATTGAAGGTTCAGTTCAATTGACCCTTGCTCTAGGTAAGTGTTATTTCAGCTTTCACATCTCACTTGGACTTTTACCTTTATGGCCAATATATATATATATTTTGGTCCCTTGATTAGATGGATTTTATTTATTTAAAGTTTGTTGTTTATAATTGTGAACAGGAGATAGCTGGTCTCATTCATGCACAAACAGGATCATCTTATTTTGGAATGGCAATGAACGACATGCGTTTATTGATAAGTCCCCTTCTCTTAAATCAGCATCAGCACCATATTCTGTGACTACTAGGGGGATCCGTAATTCTACTTCAAGCTGTAAACGAATCAAGATGATGTGAGTTTTGGTTTGGTTCTATATATGTAAGGTTCAGCAAATAAGAGTGTATCTATGTGGTACGCTTAACTCACAAAAATTCAAAGCTTATTTGCTCACATTAGAAACAAACTTATTTTGGAAGAATTTTTTCTTGGTTTTATATTACTATGGAAGAACTATTACTATACACACTGATTAGCCCCACTGAATTCACTTACTGAATTATATGCCTTTTATTTTTCTAATAAGATTGTAAATATGATAAGAGAGTCAGCATGGAAAAGTGGTAAAACTGTTGTTCAATGACTAAAAGGTGGCATGTTCAAATTTGGGAAACAATCTCTTTGCAAATATGCAAGGTAAGATTGCGTATAAAGATTATTTTCACCACACCCTCCCTAGTCGGGATTTGAGGAGTGGTTTTAAGCACAAAGCACTACAAGGGATGTTACCTTTGGGATATATCCATTGATTATCCGACTTTTTCAAGATCATTTTCTCCATTTACAAGGCTCAAACTCGAGACCTCTTGTCAAGAAGAACAAATTTCTTGCCACTTGAACCAATAATTGTGGCAGGGTTGGTACCTTTGAGTTGGAAAAATATTGCTGGTGATCGCTCTTATATCATTCATATGCATCAAAAAAAAAAAAAATGAAAAGATTACATGTGGAAAAATGAAAATTAATTATTGATCAAGATATCATGATATGTCACTCACTTTTATTTTTATTTATTTTTGTTTTTACTTTGGTACAGGAATATTTCCTCCCCTTGAAAAAGGGACATATCAGATCCTACTTGATTTTGACCTATTCTATTTATGATGTGAAACTGGCTTAGGGAATTGGGGGTTCCAATATTCAACTAAATCATTTCCCCCTTTTTTTCGAAAGGGCAAAAATTTAGAATTGCTGATGTCAACCTGAGTGCATAAAAAATATCAAAGTCTCAAATTCTGGAGTCGCATTAAATAAAAAAATAAAAAAATCCTATCAAAATAACCCCTCGGCTCATCAAGAATGATATGATGGTCCAAAGTCTATCCTTTTGTATTCAATTCAAATATATCAAGCATAATGTATGTTTGGTATTCAATTCTTGTAAACTAAAGAATGTATTGTAGAAGAAAAAGCATTTAATTATGAATGCTGATTGAAAAATTAAAGGACAAGATTTTAACAACTTTATAGCTTTTATGTACATATATTTTGTTACAATCTAAATCATGGTCATAAAGAACACTCTTAAATCAAATTAATTATGAAACCAAATAAATTACCATCAATTATTTTTTTATATCTGCCTTACAATTCGATAGCTCAAACTATCTCATATATTTCGTAACAGCAAATAGCACATCCTGTGATAATTATGCTTTCACAGTAACGTTGCAGCACATAAGGACATTTCAAATCACTATAATAACACTATTATATTTGAAGGTTATATTTACAAATTTTTTGTTCACAAACTCTTACAAACTGTATTATGTCTCCGGTAAGACACTTTTTAGTAGAGTGTTACCAATAAGATATAGTGTAGTTTGTAAAAAAAAAAAAAAAATTGTCAATATAACTCTAATCATGTAAAAATATTTCAAAAATCAAAGTGTTGAAGAATTGGTAGATGTTGACATTGCAGCCCGCGAAGGGCTTAATAATAAAATGTCTTTGAACTTGATGCATTAAGTGTGAAGTTTATATTCCTATTTAATAATGTATCAACACATCATTAAAAAAGATAAAAATTTTAAATAAAGATTCTAATAGTTATTTTTTTTAATAATTTAACATTAGATTTAATAATTAATATATATATATATATATATAAGAAAAACTTTATATTTATGTACTTTAAAATTAAATGTTAAGAAAATAGAAACCAGAATTCTATGATGATGTCATAGTTTAATCTTTGATCCTATGTAATAAATCTTTAGTACTACTGCTGTACCAAAGATTCAGTACATCTCACCAATGAAAATATTACATCTTAGCTAAAATTCTGTTTTTTCTATCAGATTTTTTCTCTCTCCTCTGATGTGTAATACTCTCATTGATGAGATGCACTGAATCTAGGTACAGTAGTACCAAAAATTTATTCGATATCATACGTCGAGTGTGGACCAAAGGCTGCTGAGTGGGACAAGCTATATATATTTTGGTGATGATGTATTTGTAGTGCATTAATTAATTCTATTATAGTATGCATAAATTGAATTCTGAACGACATTCACTGGCCTTTCCAGATTCCACGATCGAGGAAGAAGGTTAAGTGTGAACATTACCTTGTCTTAAAATAAAAGCAAATAAATTATTGATTTTCACCAACCCTTTCACCAAACAATACCGGTTACCAAACATTTTTTTAGAGGGCGTTGGGTTTATGATAAAAATTTTGAATACTAGAAAAATATAATTACTAAAAAAATAATAGAAAAGTAAGTTTAGTAGAAAAATATAAAAGAATAAATTATTTGGTTGAAAAAAATTTTATCGAAAAAATTAGATAAAATTTATAAAGTTTATGTTTGGTTGGAGGTAAAATATTGATGAAAAAATGAGTTGCAATTACCAAAACAACCCTTTTTATAAAATTTTTGAATCACCAAATAACTTTTTACTCATAATATTGAAAAATGAGCTGTTAGTCTGTAATTAAATTTGGTAGTAGATATCACTTTCTGCAATTATATTAGGTGAGGGTACGTTCGTGAGAAAATTGTTACTTTTTGGAACATTTAGCTAGACAACTCAAAATACCTGCTCTAAAGTGAGATTGTGTTACATGTCTATTTGGTGCAATTTACATGCAAATATGGATGGCTGGATAAAATAATTTTGGTAGGAAAATATTGTAATATGTTTAACCAAATATGGTATAAGGAGATTCTCAAATTGGCAATGTCTATCTATCTTAGGAGATAGATCGTACCAAACACAACTTAGGTTTTCAAAAACACATATAATAATAAAATATTTTCCTCCCCTTTTACGTGATCATATCAAGTGAGAAGATTTTACTTATTTATTTATAGATCAATAATCATTAGAAAAAAATTCATAAAATGAAAAAGCAAAAATTGTTACTTTGATTATTAACCATTAAACCATGAATAAATGATTGAGATAATTCATATGATATGATCATGTGAAAAAAAATACATGAGAAGATATTTTGATGAAGAATTGTTTTGAATTATTTTTCTTTTATCAGACAATTTGTGTTGAAATAGGAACTCAATTTGACACCAGTGTTTGTGTTTTGCAGAGTGAAAATGCAAGAGAATATTTGTCATTTGACTTTCATGAATTATGGACTCAATAGGGTAGCTTCTATTAGATCACTTGTCCTCATATTTTGTAATAAAATGGTATGGCTGAACGCAAAAATCAACACATAATTGAAACATTGAGAACTTTACTATTGTATATGATTTTTCCTCTTCACTTCAGGGAGTTGATGTTCTCACATCATGTCATCTTATAAACTGCATGTCTTCCTTTGTATTAGATAATGAAGTTCCCCATCGTAGGTCGTCCTTGATGCTCCTGTGTATCTTCTGCCTCCTCAGTCCTCACATGTTTTGTTGTATGTGTTTTGTTTGTATTTTATTCTAGGAAAAGATAAGCTCATAGCCAAAGCTTTCAAGGAATTTTTTTTTTTAACACAACCGTGCTATTGAGTATTCAGTGGGATGATGATAGTATAATATAAAGAACCAATTCAACCCAAAAGCTTAAGCTGTTCGGTGAGGTTACATTAATGGTTTTTATATATCTCAACACGTCCTCTCACACGAGAGCCCACTGGCTTGAAGGGTGGACAATGCACAGGCCCACCTACCTGTGCAACAAAGAAATTTCACTTGAAAGAAAGTGGGGGACGGCGAGGATCGAACCCGAGACACGATGCTCTGATACCATGTAAAGAACCAATTCAACCCAAAAGCTTAAGCTGTTAGGTGAGGTTACATTAATGGTTTTTATATATCTCAACATATAACTATATATTCTGTGAGTACATCATAATCACAATATTAAAGTTATATTTTTTCTCTCTCTTCAAAAGTTGTCATGTGGAAAGAATTTTTTTTTTAATATTATAATTATATATTCTTCTTCAAAATACAGAGTATACGGTTTTTTTTTTTTTTTTTTTTTTTGGTACATTGCTAGGAGGTATCCCCATTCAACTTTCTCCGGGCACCATGCCCTCGGGGTACGGCCCGTTTGGGCTAGCCCCTCATTGTAACAGTAGGTGCACTAAGCTTCTCAACCGGAGAAAGGACGAGACTAATCCCCCAACCGAAGATTTTTTGGCTTATCCTCTGGCCCCCAAAGATTTTCCAAGAAATTGCTTGAAGCAGGGTTTGATCCCTGCACCAAGCAATCCCTTGAGAGCTCAGCTGCCAACTGAGCTACCCTTGGGGGTTAATTATTTTTATTTTTAAAAAGGATATCATTGTTATGTTCCGCACTTCCTACATTGAATCCTCTAAGCTGATGTTAATTTTTAAATTAGTAACATTTTTTCACCTTCAATCATGTCTCTAAGGTTGGGATATTTTTTTTAATATTATGGCCTACGTATATACTGAACTCAATGCATCCATTTACTAAATGAGAAAATTTTAAAGGGACAAAGAGAGGAATATAAAATTTTTTTATCCATTTTAATAAGTGAGTGTACCAAGTTCAGTATATTGAGTGTACAAAAATCTGGAACAGTGACCATTTTGCTATTGTTGGTCAAAAAAATTATCAGACTGTCACGTCAACAGTAACTTTTGCCAAAATGACACGCGACATATTTCGCTACACTGTGTAGCGAAATATGTGTACAAATAATTCGCTACACAGTGTAGCGAAATATGTCACGTCAGAACCAAAAATGCCACGTGTCAAAATTGTAGAAATTCGCTACCCTATGTAGCGAATTTCTTCAATTTTGACACATGGCATGTTTAATTTTGAGCAGTCTGACGTGACATATTTTGCTACACTGTGTAGCGAATTATTTGCACATATTTCGCTACACAGTGTAGCGAAATATGCCACGTGACATTTGACAAAATTTACTGTTGACGTGACAGTCTGGTAATTTTTTTGGCCACAGTGACACTTTGGTCACTGTTCCCAAAAATTTGCTCATAAAAAATCTATAAGGTTACAGTAATACCTACAACGGACCAATAGAAATAGAAAAACTAGGCTGAAAAGTTTAAGAAAAAAAAAATTTAATATTATAATTATATACTTCAAAAATTACATAATTATAATACCACCGTAACGACCATCGATGTGCCATGATGGTCCTGAAAATGCGATCCTAAGGTTGACACCATCATACCTATTCATTTTTACGATCCTCCTTCTACACATGACTTTGGTCTTGGGGTTGGCGTCTACCATCTCGTCCCCTAATCACTTAGGGGCCGTTTGGTACTCGGATAATTTTTGCATCCCTGGGAAAGTGCTATCTGGATTTTGCAATAGCTATGTTTGGCAAGACAAAAATGATAAATATCCCCGGCAACAAGTTTATCCGTTATTTGCGTTTCATGTATGATTTGTATCGAAAGAATGGAAACATGTTGTCCAACTCAAAAACGACTTTCGTGTTTGCCCGGGGAAGTGAAATGTGAACCGCGAATGCAAATACGAAAATAACCCTCAGTTTTGTACGATTTGTGCACTGATGATGAATCTGATTTGACTGGTTGGTGGTGGGATAAAAGGCGTGTGGAAAATTGGCGCGAAAGAGCCTTATGTCTGCCATTTCTCCCTCCATTTCCTATCCGCGCAAGTGAGGAGGAAGAAGCTGATTCCTTGCATGTGACTTCTGTTGTCGGTATGACTCTTCCCTTGTATGACACTTGCCTTCTATTTAGTCTTCCAGCTAATTTCTTCTTTCATATCTGCAGTCCGGGTGCTAGAACGTGTTGAAGGAAATCGTTTTTTTGTTCAACCAAAGTCACTTCCATTTTTGCTGAGGTCGGTCATACTCTGTTTTGGACTTTATTTGTCCATATTTGGGTTGTGAGGGAAAACTAATTTTTTTTGGATCTTTGTTTTTTTTATACACGTGTTCATGTGTAGCTTATGTGTTGTGGTCATCTTAGACCCAGCACAACTTCGAGTCATATGCGATCAGTGATGCTATATTGTGCTTGTTTGGAAATAATATTAAGACTCCCAAATGATGTGTAGATATTTGATGTGGTCCGATCCTGCATGCATGTTACAGGGTAGAATATATATGTAAGTTTGACTATGATTTAGGTTTGCCTTAGGTGTGAAAGCATTTATTTCATTCGTCTAACCTGCCCATGGTTGCAATGAGTCCAGTAATGTGTGTTGTTTTAAATGAAGTTGTGATTATCAAATTGAAAGGACAAAAAACACTGATAGCATATTTTGATTTCTCATATATAATATTGTTCATTCATCTACTTTTCGCTCCAAGCAAACTTGATAATGAAAAAAATAAAAAACCTAGGGAGTAAAAAAATCTGTAAAGATATATATTTAAAAAAAATATAAAAAATAGGAAGTAGTAGGATCATCTCAATTTTTCCCCCATCGTTTTTCCTTCCTCAGTCATACTAAAGAATGAAAGACAGAGATTGGAAGGTGAATGAGTTTTTTAATCAGTCGAGTTCTACTTTCCTAGTTACGTTACCTTTTATTCCAATATATTAACCAAAATTGTCATGACAAAAACTCTGGTTTTGTTTTCTGAGTGAACTTCCAAGATTCCCACTGGCCCTGGTTTTGTTTTCTGTGTGTTGTTTTAAATGAAGCTGTCTTGGTGGAGCATGTGAGGTATGTTGTATGCAGTCATCCATATATTGGAATGCTCATTACATGTAATTGCAAATAAATTTTTAGCATTAAGCAGTAGCATGTGAGTTGTGTTGTAAACTGTTATGTTATGGATTTAACATAACATGTAATTGCAAAATAATTTTTGACTAAATGTGAAATTCGAAATTGAGAAGGGATAGGATAAATGAATTTATAAAAATTGTGGCAGCATGCATTTACAAACTAGTACATGAGTTGAACATGTGTTAACATATATCTACCTCATTATTTGCACTGAACCAGATTACAATCCTTGTCCTATATTTGAGCAATATGACTGATTGTGTTGTGATGCTTTGAATCCCGTTCATCATCGTTGGATTAATGTTAATTACTCTTGGCTGTGTTGTGTTAGATTGAGGAGATGAACACAGCAATGGCGTTGAGTGTCATTATTGTTATCATTTGTCATTTGCAAAATTTGAATCACTGAACTATGTTATTATTGAGAATTTATGGTGTAATATTAGCTCACATTGAAAGAAGGAAAAGGAAAATGAGGAGATTGAAGTGGGATTTTTGCAGAAGGGTGCCTACGAGGGAAATGAATCTGCATATAATAGTGTATATTACTGACACCGCTTGTATTGAGAATACAAGGATGGATAGGAGAAACTTTCATAGTTTGTGTGATATGTTGAAAACTATTGGGATGCTTCAACCGACGAGGCACATGGGGGTAGAAGAGCAGGTTGCAATCTTCCTTTATATTTTGGCTCATGATGTGAAGAATCGAGTTATTAAAAGACAGTTTATGAGGTCAGGTGAGACAATAAGTAGACAATTCAACAAGGTGTTGCTGTCTGTTTTAAGGTGTCACACCGTACTGCTTAAACGGCCTGATCCCATCCTACAAAACTCAACTGATGATAGATGGAAGTGGTTCAAGGTACTTGTAAAAATTTACACTATGTTTTCCGCATAATTCACAAAGGTCATTCTCTCTTTTATATTGACTTGTTTTATTTGTTTGTTTTGTTGGGTTGATAGAATTGCCTTGGAGCTTTGGACGGGACGCACATCAAGGTTAATCCATTACAAGCTGATAAGGCAAGATACCGCAGTAGGAAGGGTGAAATTGCGACAAACGTTTTGGGTGTCTTCTCGCAGGATTGCCAATTTATTTACGTGTTGCATGGATGGGAGGGATCAGCTGCGGATTCAAAGGTGCTCAGAGACGCTATCTCTCGTGGAAATGGGTTAAGGGTCCAGAAAGGTAACTACAGAACATCACACACATTCTTCGCAGAGAGACATATCATTTATACTACAGTCCCACAGTGTTCCTCACAAATAACTACTGTTGTCATAGGTTTCTATTATTTGGCCGATGCCGGTTATATGAATGGGGAAGGATTCCTAACACCTTATAGAGGGCAAAGATACCATCTGAGTGAGTGGAGACATGGGGCACAACCAACGACACCGCAAGAATTTTTTAACATGAAACACTCCCAGGCTAGGAATGTGATTGAAAGATGCTTTAGGTTGTTGAAGGGTCGTTGGGCCATTGTCAGGTCAAAGTCTTTTTATCCGGTGAAAACGCAGTGCCGCATAATCACTGCTTGCTACCTGCTTCATAATCATATTAGGAATGAGATGCCTATTGACCCTTTAGAGGATAATACTGTGGACATGGCTGAAGCTGCAGACAACTTCGAAGGACAGAACTTGATAACTCATGTTGAGTCATCAAATGCTTGGACAAGGTGGAGGGATGATTTGGCCCAACAGATGTTTGATACATGGAGGAATGGTGTTTGATTTGGTTTAGGACTTTGTGTGATTTATAATGTTGTTGTGTTTTGGTTACATCGACTTAGTTTCATTTCATAACATTTGTGTGATTGTACTGAACTCTTTCTTTTTCTATGTGAGGCTATGTAATAGATACTATATATGTCAGTTTGGTAATGTTGATTTATGTAATCTGTTTGTAACTGATTGTCTATTGATTATAGTATACAAACAACATATGTTTTTCTTAACACCTTATGCAGATGGCTGACAAGGATTCCCAATCGAGCAAGCAGATTAATCACACGTGGACATCAGAAGAGGACATGGTGCTTGTTGATTGTCTTGTTGAGTCCGGTTTAGCATGGAAGGGTGAGAATGGTTTCAGGCCCGGATTTCCCAATCACTTAGAGAAGCTGATGCATGCTAAAATTCCTGGATGTACATTTAAGGGCACTCCACACATTACGTCTAGAATCAAGCACCTAAAGAAGCACTACAATGCCATTGCTGAGATGATGGGTCCGAATGGGGGAAGTGGTTTCGGGTGGAATGATAGGGACAAAATGATTGGCGTGGAGAAGCAAATTTACATGGACTGGATTAAGGTAAAACTCATTATTGGGAACAGAAAAATTATCATATTGTATTGCATTTTCTTTGTTATAATTTACTGTTCTAATGACACACTGAATTGTATTATCCTTGCACACTCACCCTAATGCCAAGGGTCTCTACAAAAAACCATTTCCATACTATGACGCATTGGGACCGATTTTTGGAAAGGACATGGCAAATGGAGAGTATGCCGAGGGTCCAGAGGATGCAGTCCACAATATGGACAATGAGGCAATTGGTATGGCTGAAAGTGGGACTGTCGTGGAAGAAATTTATGATCTATTTGAAGACAACACAATCTCACCGAATTGGGAACCTCCACTCCCTGACACTGCAACTGAAGAAGCCACACAAACTTCTCCTGTGTCAATTTCTGTTGCAAAAAAGGGTAAGAAGAGAGGAAGGAATGAGGAAGCTTTGGCTAGTGAGGTATCTGTTGCAATTAAAGATCTTTGTAATGATTATAAAACCACAAATGACAAAATTGACAGGTTGATTACATGCTTTGAACACCAAGGTGAGGGTTCAAGCAAAAAAACTTCTGTTGTCCAAGAATTGAAGAAATTTGAAATATTGACAGTTGAACAGAGGGTTAACCTTGCCATGATTATGCATAAGGATCCCACTATATTGGAAATTTTTTTGGAAGGTGGTGAAGAAGAAAAACAGTTTGTGGTGGCATCCTTATTGAGTAAAAGGTGAGAGTGTGAGTACTTCACTTTTTTGAGAACCCCTGGTTATATGGGTTGTGTTCACTACTTTTGAATGTCATTTACTATCTATGTCTGTGTCATGAGACATCTAGGCTGCTGTCACATGTTTTATAAGTCAGCCACATTATGCATATTTTGAAGACCTCTAATAGAGGACAAATGCTTTCATGAAATGGGTTTTTTGAGATTAACCTTGCAATGTTAACGAAACAGATTTAAGCCTGCAATGGTGTTTATATATGGTTTAGCAGGTATGTATTTATTAAATGGTGGGGCATGTGTGATATATATTTCACAGTCATTTATACATGTTGATAAAAATTTCATGGTTTGTGATTTGTGTAAAGCATAACAGGTGTTGAACTATGCTGGCACGCTCAAGCTTACGTACCTAGGGAGGTGCTGCAAGATTCAAGTTTGTGAAGGTTAAGCAAAGGTTCATCATGTGAAAGATTGCTGAGGACATGATGATTTGGTTTTATATTGTATACATTGTTTTGTACAGATGTATATGTCATAAAGTACTTCTTTCAGTGAGGCCTTTAGGCAGGTTA